ACTTTGGGAAATTTTTTCACTGATAGCATCATAAGTAGAGAAAGTATTATCTCTCAACCTAGATAGAAGTGAAAACTTTGTTAGATAGCTCAAAAGGGCTCTAGGTAACAAGCCTCTGATCTTGGATATGCTTGTAGAGTCTAAATGAAATAATCTCATGAAATAGGTAACAACATAACTATGTTAAATTTTTTTTTTTTTAAGCGACTGCAATCATCTGGCATAAATATTTTTTTAAATAGACCCCATGGGACTTATCTACAAAGGTACACAAGAGATAAGCTAGTTCTTACAAGGCACAAAGAACCTATACTGCCCCTATAGAGTTGAGCTAAGAATCTCCTTTACACTGATCCAACAGAAATAGAATGTGCTATTTTAGAAACTTCTGTCAAGGAGTCAAAGATTTAAAATGAATATCTCTAATGATCAGCAATTCTATCTATAGAAATATACCCAATAGCTATTCATTGCAACTTCGTTTACAGTAGCTAAAAGATTGCAAACTATTAATGCCCATCAATAGAGGACTATTTGAATAAATTATGTGTCCAATGGACAAATGAGTAAAATGAATAGCTATCTTCCTGTATATGTATAGAATGCCTCAAAGAAACCATTATCAGTAATCATCTCTTGGGATGGGGGTATCTAGAGCCAGAAGTAGGAGTTTTTTTCACTGTATTTCCCTTTATACTCTGAATATTTCATCATGCTCATATATTACCTACTCACAAAATAAAATTTTCATTTATTTATTCTCTTTTTATTTCAGCATATTATAGGGGTACAAATGTTTAGGTTACATATATTGCCCTTACCCCCCTGAGTCTGAGCTTCAAGTGTGTCCATCTCCCAGACGGTGTGCACCACATACATTAGGTGTGAATATACCTATCCCCTCCGTCCCCTCCCAACAAAATAAATTTTTAAAGAAAAACACAATTTGTTCTTGAAAGGAATAACCTAATTAACTGTGTTGCTGAGTGTCAGAGCACAGAAGCAGTGAGTATCAACCAAGAGTCTCTAATAGGCAGACACCTGTCAAGAAATACCTATTTCATTAGCATGAGCCAAAAAGCCCCTCTTGGCCTTCTATACCAGGAATAGCCCTGCACAATGAGAACTCTTTTTCAATATGGTCTTGAATAACCAGAGCAATAGATTTAAGCAAAAGTTAAAACTGAGCAGAGAGGAAGCAGCAAATATCCCCACAACAAAAGAACCTTGCCTCTGCCAGATGAAGGCAGGGAGGAAGGGAAGGAGGCAGCACTGGGTCCTTTCCAGGTACCCAAAGTTCTAAAATCTCTTTTTCCCCAAACTCCAACATCTCCTGAATTCTTCTACAGAATAACATGAGACATGACCTAATGGAACTCTGTGTCATTTCATCAAAGACTAAGTGCTTTTATTTCACTTGCCATTTCCTTGACTTAAGGTGCCAAAAACCCTTTGGCCAAATTTCTGATATTTCTGCTGCCACAGCTATGCCAAGGCTCTTTTTCCTCAACTCTGGGTATCCGGATTTCTTAACTCACAACCACACCAATACTGTTAATGCTCCAAGACAATTCCGGTCTCCTTTGCTTGTTGGCTAGAATAATCCCATAAGAATCCGAGTGTCAACTCTATCTTCTTAGCACCAGGTGGCTCAGACATCCCACCTCTTCCTGACTATGAGCCACTGCCCAGGTGGCCTTGCCTAACCACCTGTATCAGACAGGTGATTATCTGCTATAAGAGACACTTCCCAGATGCTGAAAACTTCCCCATAGAAGATGAAAGGGATACCCTTCAAAGAGTCTGAACATTCCAGGGAATATGATGCAGGTCTCAAGCAGGCCTCCTAGAATACACAAAGCTCATAAAAGCAATTACCTCCCAGAAGCACAGAGATTTGTCCACACACCTTGGAAGACAGGACTGGCCATGATTTGGATCAAAGAACGTGACCTGCATTGCTATTATCCACCTTTACTCAGGAGAAGGAGTTTGATAGCTTCTCTTTCTTCTCTTTCTTACAAGAAGAGTTTGAGGTCTGGAATCCAGATAATGGCAGGGCACACACAGTGAGACAGAGCTGAGAAAAGAGATGAATCTATCTTTTAGGAGCATCATGCTGGCTGTCCTCTCTCCCAACTTTTGCCAGCTAAAACTTCAGGTATGAGAGACATAGAGCTCAGTGATGAGCTCAGTGATGCATTTACATTAAGGAAAAAAAACCTCATGAGTGAGAACCATGCCTTTCGATAGCATCAAGCAGGCATTCTTGTGCTCACACACAGTGAGAGGAGGAAAAAGAATGAAAGGCAACTGGCTCAAAGGCACACTTCACATTGATACACACATCATATCTCAAAATAACATGCTGAATGAAAGAAGCCAAACAGAAAAGAGCACACACTCTAGCACTTCATTTCCATAAACCTCTATAAAATGCAAACCAGTATATGGTGGCAGGAAGCAACAGGTAAGTGGCTGCTTGGGGCTGGGGAGCAGGGAGGCTTGGAAGGAGGGATGACACGGGAAATTTCTGAGTCTGATGGACATTTTCACTGTCTTGTGATGGTAGTAACACAGGTGGCTACATATGTCAAAGCTTCTCAAACTGTACACGTTAAGTATGTGCAGTTTGTTGCATGACAATTATACTTCCATAAAGGTAATTTTTAAGAAAGACCATTGTTCAAGCAAAAAAAAAAAAACCACCTAAGGTTGAAATCCACCGCAAAAGTCAACCTGGTCCTCCTACTTTTTAGATATGATGTAATCCAACAGCGATGATTGCCCAAAAACCTCCCTGAGGAAACAATTATGGGAAAAAGGAAAGCTGCAGCCAAACACCCCCTACCCCCTACCCCATACCCACTACAGTCCAAATACCTGCCTTCTGGGGTACAGGAAAGGACTGATCCTGACAGCACGGCTCCACAATGCTGTGAGCTGAGTAGCCAGTTTCCATGTGACCTATATTCCACTGGCCACATCAACATTCCCCAACAACAGCTGGGAGAGGCCCCCACCTCCCACTCAGTTAATGACCCAGTCATAGTTGGAGCAAGGCAGGAAGAGGCAGAGACAAAGGCTAAGTTCTCCTCTGGCCTCCTGAGACACTAGGGCAACACATAATCATTGGTGTCCAGCCCCAGTTGGACAGAAGAAATTGAGCAGAAAGCAACCCTGAGGGTGATAAAATAAAAAAGCAACCCTTAGAATTCCACGGGATCCTAAGAGATGGCCTCTGTCCTACCTGCTGACAAAGAAGGAGTAACAGGAAAAACAACGACTTTCCTAAGCCTGTCAAACTATTTCTATGGGCATGAGTCCAGCTCTGATTCTCTGCTGCCATTTTCATGTCACTCCTACTGTAGCCACTGCCCCTGGGTGGGGGCACAGTTAACTCACCTGAGAGAACTCAGGCTTCTTCACAGCGAGGTCAGCCGCTGACACCTCATCTCTGTCCTGCCAGACAACAGCAAACACCCAGCCTCCTTCCCACACCTTTTCCTGGGGACTATTCAGGTGTGCCACCTGGCCCACCTCAAGATCCTCGGTGTGCTGCCCCTCATAGTGAGCTGTCTAGGTCCCCCACAGACTGCTATATCCCTGATCAACAACAGATGAGAGCATGCTGCCTGCACACACCCAGCCCTTCCCTCTGGAGCTCAGGCTCCTTGACACCTGCTGTGTGCAAGAGGCTTTGAGTAATTCTTCTGGGGTTTGCATCAGCCTTGCACAGGGAGGAAAGCTGAACATCCTTACAAGAGCAGGGACCAATCTTAAATGCGTTAGAGATCATAGACAGGATGGGAAAGTCTTGGGAACAACTGGGGAAATGAAATGCCTCTTAGATTTTCTGGGCCCCAAAGTGACAAGAGAACCATTTCCTTCTCCCAAACAATATTATGACATCCTCACTGTCATACAAAAAAAGAGATGCAAGTATAAGCCTATTTTTAAAAAGGAATAAATGTAAAGCATTTCCAGTGTGTTCTTATGGCAGGAAAAAAATGTTCAGATCTTTATCTCCATCAAAAACTTGCCTATCTCTCAGGGGAAATTTGGAGAAACCAAGAAGAGGCACAGAGAAGAAGAAAACGACAAAGCTGGGCGGTGGTGTGCCCGCCACCTGCTCCAATGGCTCAGCCTTCCGCTCCTGCTCCTCAACAGCTGCCAGCACCAACCATCCCCTGGTTTTGAATATGGAAAGTGCCAGGCATTGGCCTGAAAGATGGAGCAGAGCTGCGGGATCCTATAAACAGCTACAGTTTAGAAAAATTCTAGGCTAGGACACCCAGAAAACTTTTACGCAGACTATGGGTTCTACCACTGAACCCAACCACTCGCCCTAACCAACATTTTGTAACTGGGGGAGGAGGAGGAGGGAGCTGGTAACCGGTGAATGGTGGGAAAGTGGAGAGAGACAACGTGTCAGTTTTAGCACCGTGCAAGGAATCGTGACTGAGGCTCTTGGAGGCCTGTGGGGCAAGTGTTCTTAGGACCGTGCGTGGCGCGCTACGCCACCGTCGCCGGAAGCCTGGAGCGCTGGCCTCCGGAATAAGGAGCCCCCCAGCAGGCTTGGGAGGCAATGTGGGGGCCTAGGAGCAGAGCAGAAAGGGGCTCCCCGCGGAGAGCTGGGGCCAGGGCAGCGATGGGGCGTTTCGGAGGGTGGAGGCCGGTCCTGCCCACCCGCCCAGAGGCAGGGAGTGTCCTCGAGCAGCAGAGCCGGGCACCTCAGGCGCGCAGGAGAGGGAGCTCGGCGCCGCCGTCCGGAGTCTCTGAGGGCAGCGCCTGGTGTCACCCAGAGGCCTGGGTCTCCAGGCAGAAGCAAAGTGCTTGGAGGCGCGGGGTCACACGGGCGTAGGGAGCTCCAAGGAAGAAGAGGCTGGAGCTCTTCCCGTGGGCACTCAGGATTCGCGGGGCGCGGGAGGCGAAAACCCGAGGTGTGGAGGGCCGGCGTGCGCGCAGTCCGGCCGGTGCCGGGCGGGGCTCTCTCTCACCTGCGGAGCACCAGGAAGCTCAAGATGACCAGCAGCAGGAGTCCGAGTGTGCGGCCCGGCCTCCGCCGGAGGCTACACATGGCCATCGCGCGTTCGCGGCGCGCGGGGACCCGGGTTCGCACTCCAGCCGCACTCTGCCGCGCTCCGGCGCCTCGGCGCGGGGGGCGGGGTCGCGCCCCGGTCGCCCAGGCAACTGGCCCGCTAGCGCTCACTGGCTGCGGCTCACGGCCCCGCCCCCCCGGGCCTCTGGCAGGGGCGGGGCCTCAGGGCCAGGAGCAGGGGCTGGGGCGGGGCGGGGCGGGGCCTCACGGGGAGGGTGCGGTGGGTTGGCCGGGTGGCTCCAGCCGGTCTCGGCCGGGTCGCGGAGGCCCTGCGCTCTATGTTTCCGAAGCTGTTTTCCTGCACGTGATCCTGCAGGTGCACAAATACTGGGCGTGTGTTGCCCGGGCCGTGCATGCTCCTCGGGCGCGGGGTAGTTACCCCCAACAGCGCTGCATTAGGAAGCATGTAGGACAGGCGCCTGCAAAGCGGGGGCAAGCAACAAAATCTTTTAAAACGATTCAAATTTTGAAGAAAAAAAAATTTGAAGTAACTCATGTAAAAAGCCAGGATTTTGAAGAATTTTTTTAGTACATATTTTAGTGTGGTTCTTGTCTCAAATGGGGGTGGAGGGGAAACCAAAATATTTTCTGTCTTTGATTTCCACAGGCCTTGTTCTGGCCCTGACTCCAAGCACTTTCAATTTTTATTTTTAAAAGGTCCTGATAAAACCCTCCTGTTTTAGTAAAGGATGAATATAAATCTTATTCTTAAACAGAATTGTGTCCCAAAGAACATTATGCAATACTGGGGTGAAATTGAAACTCTGTGGCAATCACAAACCCAACTCCTCTCAGTGACAAAACTCAGACTTTACTGAAGGAAACTCTAGGAAGGCAAATGTTGTTTTCAAAAATTCAGAGTTTCTAGACTCTTCCCCTCATTGCATATTTTAAATACATTTCTTATATCTGTACATAGTTTCAAACTTTTAAAACGGACAGGAACAAAATGAAATTTTAGTTCTTGGAACAAAGACTCCCAGAGTTTGGTGTGAAGTGTCCTTCGTCTAGCATTAAGCAAATATTTAGTCAAGTAGCAAGAGTTGAACCAAGTAGAAGAAAAAACAACGGGGGGGGGGGACCTGCCAGAATTAGAAAGGACAAGTTGAGGGTTCGCGGTACAGTTCTGATAGCGGTGCCAGGCGCATTCCCAGGTGCCGGCGGAGCGGTAGCTCTCCTGAACTCACGGGCCCAAATCAGTATCTTTCTCTCCATTTTTTATGGCATATGATTGCTTGATGGCTGTTAAGTCTCTGACGAAAAAATTCTGGTTTAATTGGGATAAAAGCTAGCCCCAAAGCTGTGTGGAGAAAGTGTCACAGCTGAGCCCTTTGCCTGCAGACCATCCAAAGGCGCGTCCCACACTCGCCCCTCTCCACCGCTGAGCAGTAGCGGAATCTATTCAGCTTCGGATTATCCTCAAGTTCAAATCATGCCAGCATCTCCATTTCTTCTCAGATATTAGTAAAAACATGGGCTATAAAAATCCCAGACTCCTTAGCCCTCCGTTGTGTTCTTGTTTTTATTTCTATGAGAAGAGTATATATACTTCAGTGATAAAAAAAAAAAAATTACCCCTTAGCCTCTGGGAAGTCCAGAACTATGGACACCCTGCCCACAGTTTAAGAAAATTTTTACTTCATCTGAGCTTAATGATAACGCAGAGTGCTAGAAAGACCCCAGATGTGTTTTGCTAAGTGGCTGACTTTTGTTTTTTACAATATTAGCAAGATACTCCTTCAATTTCTCCTTTCCAAGATGTTTAGTGGACAATGAAAATACTCAAATCCCAAACAGAAGCTGCAGTTTCAATGAACTGGCATGAGAGTGATATAAACAAAGTGCTCTGGCAAGGTGCTTGCTCTGGTAATGCACCCCTGACACACAGGAATCATCATCTTCCCAGGCCATCTTCCTGCTGTCAAGGGCTTAGAAAATACAAGAAATGCTTTTTAAAAAAAAAAAAGAAAAATGAAGTCCTATTGCTATCCTGAATCCACCACTCTAAGGTGGAGCTCCAGCTGACCTGGAGAGCACAATCCCTTCTTTGAGAATTCAGTTGTTCCACGTAGGCAATGGCATACACAAAAATGCACACGGGAATAAAAGCTGCGGTCGTTCCCAGTCCATACGATGGAGTCATGCAAAAAAAATAGTCCTATCAAACTAATCTCATTTGCTGTTACACTTTTTATTTTTAATAGGTAATATGTTTATAGATCAGTTATGCAGTCATTCACATAACTTATTTTTGAGGGCACTGTACTAATGCTTTAAATACAGTATATCTGAATTTTGACAGATCTGAACATTTGACAAAATCTCTCTTAAAGTTATGAGGATAAGATGCACAGTGTGTCTTCTATGATAGTACATTCACTGTGATAGTACACTCCCTGCCCCTCACTTCCTCCCTACAGAGAGACCCCTCTGGCCTGCCCTTCCCACCCACCCTCCACTCAGGAGGAGCAAAGTCCACTTAGGCTGTGAAGTTACCAGAAATCTTGAGCAAAAAATTTAACATGGGGGAATTTCTGAGAATAAATGAGGACAATTTGAACCCCAAACAAAAAGAAAATGGAAAGTCCTAGAAAGGAGGTTTTTGGTCCTAGTAAAAGAAAAAGGAAGACAGATATAAGTTAAAAGAAGTAGACAAGGCTTCTGAGGCCAAAAGCTATGTTAGTGAGACTAGGAGAGACCTGTGTACATCCCATAGGGATCAACTGAACTTGATCTTTGGCCTTGGTAGTCCAAAAATATCTGTTTTCAGCCTCAGGCTTTGGAAGACCAAATAGCTAAAAAGCAAATTAAACAACATTTTATTTATTAAAAAAATAGTTGACAAATGTTTAATGACCATGTATTACATGCTGAATATTGTTTAAGTCCTTGGAATGCATCAGTGTACAAAACAAAGATCTCTTCCCTTTGAAACTTATATTCTACCAAGGGAAGAAAGACAACAAAAATTAACACAATGAAAAAGCAGAATATGTTCAAAGGTAATAAATTCCATTGCAAAAATGAAAAGTAGATAAAGGAAGGAGGATTAGGAGTATAATGCAGAGGGGTGTGCAGAGAGGGGCTCCCACCAGGAAGATGTTAACTGAGATAAGATCTGAAAGTGGTGGGAGTTAGCCGTGCAAGCTGCTAGCTGGAGGAAGAGCTACCCAAGCAGAGAGAACAGCTAGTACAAAGGCCCTTAGCAAGAAGCATGACTCTGTGTTCAAGGAAAGGCAAGGAGACCAGCGTGGGAGGAGAAGGTCAGGAATGCAGGAGATGAGGTCAGAGAAACAGAGGGGCTTGGTCACGTTGCCCTGCAAGAATAGGGATTTGACTGAATGAAATGGGAGCCACCACAGCCTGTGGACATGACATTGATTATGCCTTGGAAGCATCACTCTGGCTACTGTGCTGAGAATCTTCAGGAGTGGGCACAAGTGGAGGAGAGGAGACCAGTGAGGAGCCGATTGCAGTGTCTGTGTGAGAGGTGATGCAGAATCAGACAAGGGGACAGTGATGGAGGTGGTGAGAAGTGTTGGATTTCTGGAAATATTTAGAAAGCAGAGGCAAGAGGATTATTGCAATTCATGGATTGTTTGCAGAGTGGGAGAAATAAAGGCAGCTCAGGAATGACTCCAACATGTTGGCCCTGAGAAACCAGAAGCACTGGCGTCCCCATGACCTGACATGGGGTAGGCTGCAGGGGGAATGAGTTTACAGGGGCGTCAGGAGCTCAGCCTGGACTTGTGGAGTTAGAGATTTCCAGGAGACGTACCAGGGGGATTCCGTGTAGGCTGTTGAATGTACAAGCCTGATAGTCAGGAAAAAGATCTGGGATGGAGATATAAATTTAGGAGTTGATGGAGTTTGATGAGATAACCAATGAACGGAATGTGGACAGAGAAGAGGACCAAGGATAAGCCCTGGAGCACGTAACGCCGAGAAAGGAGGAGAAGCCAGAAGTTGCACAAGGAGGAGCAGCACAGAGGGAGGAAGAAAACTCAGACAATGGGGTGTCCCAAGTGCTAGGAGAGAAAAGCTACCAAGAAAGAAGGAGCAATCGACTGTGTTAAATGCTGCTGCCAGGCCAAGTTAAAGAAAGATTGAAACTTAACCAGCGGAATTAGTACCGTGTTTCCCCAAAAATAAGACAGGGTCATATATTTATTTTTCCTCAAGAAGACACCCTAGGGCTTATTTTCAGGGGATGTGTTATTTTTTTTAAGTATAGTACAACAATCTACATTTATTCAAATATAGTTAAGTCGTCTTCTTCTGGAACATCATCATAACTCTCCAAACCTCGAATTCCATCCTGAATTTCTTGCAACTCTATTTCCTTTAGAACCATTGGCCCCAATCTCTCATGTCGAGCCATAGAGCTCTCATGGGGCAGATGAGAAGGGCTGCTCGTCTTCTTTACTGGGTGACGAAATGCATGGGTTGTGCAGATGTGCTGCGTAGCCACGCCCATCACTAGGTCTTATTTTTGGGGTAGGGCTTATATTGCACAAATGCTCAGAAATCCTGCTAGGGCTTATTCTATGGGTAGGTCTTATTTTCAGGGAAACACAGTATGTGGCAGATACAGGTGAACTGGACACGGGTAGTCTGGGTGGAATTGGGGTCATGGGGTTTGGGAAGTCCACCGGAATGGGTTGAGGAAGGAAGGGTGAAGAGGAATCTAAGGCAGGAAGAGAGATAACTCAGTCAAAGATCTGCGCTAGAAAGGAGAACTGATAAATGGGTTGGTAGCTGGGGCAAAAGAGGAAACTGAGTCCAGGCCAGCGTTGTATTTTCATTTTTGTTTAGACTGGAGGAACCACAGCATGCTTGTATGCCTGTAGTGATCTTGATCGGCAACTAGTGAGGTGAAATAGACCGTGGAGAATTTCTGGAAACTCCTGAGTAGGTGATATGGAGGCGACCTGGTGACCAAGTGAGATAGTTTAGGCATCGCTGCATTGGTGGCAATAAAGTGATCACTGAGGTTAATTTCAAATCCCCAGTGTAACACTACCAGAAATGAAGACTGAGCATGTTGTTGGAATTTGTTGATAGTATCTGAATACAGTCAGCCCTCCGTGCCCGTGGGTTCTGTGTCTCTGGATACAACCAACCTTGGATCAAAAATATTTTCTGAAAGAAAATTGCATCTTATGTAAACTTTTTTTTCCTTGTCATTTCCTAAACAATACAGTATAACAACTACTTACAGAGCAGTTCCATTATATTAGGCATTATAAGTAATCTAGACATGGTTCAATGTATATAGGAGGGTATGTGTAGGTTATATGCAAACACTACACCATTTTATATAAGGCACTTGTGCATCCGTGTATTTTAGTGTCCTCAAGAGTTACTGAAACCAATCCCCCCACGGATACCACGGGACAACTGTATTCACTTCCAAACGCAGGTATACATTTGAGATGTGACATGAAGTGAAACATTAAAATTTTATCAATAGGTTAAAGTAAAATAAAGCAATGATTAAAGATTATTATGAAAACTATTAATTTAACATCCAAAAACAATTGTTAAGAACTTTCAAATATTTAAGCACATTGGAAAATAGATTTGGCAGTTCATATTAATATTAATAGAGTACATTAGTTTTATAACTTTAGGAAGAATATGATATCCTTTTTAAGCCAATATATGTATATAAAATATATAATTTTTATATATAGAATACATATGATATGATATCCAAATATTATATCGTATATCATTAACATAAATTTAAATATATAAAAAGGCATATAAAGATTATGTTATATCACAATTTTTATAATTTTAGAATTGTTTGATGAATGTCATTTATGACATTAAACATTTCTTTTATAAACCAAATTTAATTTTATTACTTTATTTCATTCAGGCCATGAGTCTTTGAAGAAAAAGGCTTCTTTGGGAATTCTTGCCACCTCAAAATTTCATGAAGAGGAAAATTACCAAAATTATGAGCAGCTGCATCTGTAGTAAATTATTTTTTATTCAGATAGAATAGATAACATATGAAGAAAAATGATAGTGTTAGATAAAAATTAGGCACATTTTGTTCGCACTAATCAAACTTCAAATGATAGACTTGTAATAATACTTCAAGAAGACAATTTATTATAGTTTTGAGTCTATTGAGGCTAAATATTATAAAAAGATCCTCAGTATAATTGCTATATCACATTATTTTCAGTAGATTGGAGCTGCTGAAGAATTTTAGAAATCTGCTCAAGTTATGAATCCCAGGAGCAAAGTTTCTTCCACAAAACATACTACTAAAATCTTTTTTCCTGAATTATATTTTGCTGTGTACAGGTTAGTGATATTATTAAATATCTATATCTTGTATATCAGATATTTGGGCATACAGAAACAAATCAAAGTTTTATTTAAGTTTGACATATGATAGATTAATGATGAATTTAACAATGTTGCTGCTTTTTTTTTGCCATGATTCCTGAGTCTAGCACAGAAAGCTAAGAAATATTCATAAAATGAAAACTTAGAAAATAAAGGTGCAATGCAATTGCCACTGACAAAGAAAGAACAAACATAGCTAAGGCCATAAATGTCTTAGGAATTACAAATGCTTCATCCACCACCTTCAGCTCTGTATTTATAAAGAAATTCCAGCACAGTATAAGGTAAGGACTCTTTAACCAAAAACAAAGTCCATGACATACAACATATTTTAAAACTCTCCTGCCTCTTTACTTTATGCAAGATGTTTAGAAAGGCTGAATAGCAACTAACATATTTTTTAAAAACAAAGCTTCAGCAAAAAAAGTCTTAATACCATACTTTTCAGAAAATAACAGCAACATAGGAAGCCTTATGAACGACTAATGGTTTATCTGCTAGAACCTGCTGAAGAAGTAAATACATTGATATGCCTTGAGAAGAAAAATTACCCTTCCATGACACCTGCTGAAAGCCACTGACATCTTTCTCTGAATGAAAGCGGAGATGCCCATGAAATTTCAGAGATGATTGTTGTTATCTTAAAATCCAATTGCATTACTTCGTTGCTACATTTTTAGATTCAATGTTTAAGAGAACAAATTTTTAGGAAAATGCAAATCAAAACCACAGTTGAGATAGCATGTCACACCCAATAGGGTGGCTATAATCAAAAAGAGAGATTAAAAACAAATGTTAGCGAAGATGTGGAGAACTTGGAACCCTCACACCTTGTTGGTGGGAATGTAAATTAGTGCAGACACATTGGAGACAGTTTGATCATTCATCAAAAAATTAAACATAGAATTACCATATGATCCAGCAATTCCTCTTCCAGGTATATAACCAAGAGAACTGAAAACATATGTCTACACAAAAACCTGTGCATGAGTGTTCATAGTAGCATTATTCATAATAGCCAAAAAGTAAAATATCTATCAACTGATGAATGGATAAACAAGATATTGTATATCTGCACAGTAGAATATTATTCAGCCACGAAAAGGAATGAAGTATTCATACATGCTACAACACTGACGACGCTTGAAAACATGATAAGTGAAAGAAACCAGACACAAAGGGCCACCACATATTGTATGATCTCATGTACATGAAATATTCAGAATAGGAAAATCCATAGAGAAAGAAAGTGGATTTATGGTTGCCAGGGGCTGGGGGAAAGCAGGAATGAGGAGTGACTGCTAATGAATGAAGGGTTTCTTTTTGGAGTGATGAAAATGTTCTGGTGATGGTTGCACAACCTGTGACATACTATACTAAAAACTACTGAATTATTTTGAATGAAAAGGTTTTATGGTGTACGAATCATATCTCAATTTTTAAAAAGTAGCACAAAATTTTCTCCAGTGCAAAGTGCTTCTATTTATCTATTTCCACATATAGATCTGGAAATATTTGCTTTATAAATTTTAAAGCTAAATTTTTAGGAACAGACAAGTCTAAAATTATTATATCTTTCTCACGAATTGAATTTTCATCATTATTAGTAACCCTCCATACCTAGTAACACCTTGTGTCCTTTCATCTATTTGCCGGAGGTTAATATGGTTACTCCAGCTTCTTTGGTTAGAATTTGCATGGTATATTTTTTAGCCTTGGACTTTCAATCAATTTGCATCTGTATGTTAGAGGTGTATCTCTTGCAAAACTCAAATACTTAGTTTTTTTAAAAAAGTCATGTCTGACAAGTCTTGCCTTTCAATTAGAGGGTTTAGTTCATTTATAAAATTTACTGTGGTTGCTGATACATATGTATGTATTCTACTGTGTTAGTTTGTGCTTCTACTGGTACTCTTTTTTGCTTTTTATCATTTAGAGTTCTTACTATTTTTTCTCATTCTATTTATCACTTTAATTTTTTTGAAAGTTAAAAGCCAGATGTATTTTTTAACAATTAAGCTAAGTTTATTAACATGCATATTCGAAAAAGTCTAAAGTTTAATATCTGAGAATTACAGAAACCTTAGATCACATTTTTTGCCGTCACATTCCTCTCAGCTTGGATATTTTTGCCCTGTCTTAGAGTTCTATGCTGATGTTAGCTCAAATTAGACATTGGCATTACCTGTATTGAGTTAACATTTGGTTATATTCACTCTCATATTTGTCAGCATCCTTCTTTGGCTCCACATTCTTTCTTGAGTGTTAGACTTTCCATTCGCAATCATTTTCTTTCTGCTTGTAGTATTTTATTTAGAATATCTCTTCTCAACTGAGGTTCCCTGAGAGCATGAAGCTCTAATGCCCTGAAGAAGCTGTGGTATGTAATGAGTTACCTTCTCTAATATACATCCAAATGACACAATCAGAAACTGATTACTGAAAACACTTTCTGCAGGGTTTAATTCTCTTAGGGAACATTGAGAATGGCTGCTTCAGAACATCCTCTGGTGTAGATCTTTTCATGATAAACTTTCTTGACTTTTGTTTATCTATTAATAAAAGTTGTGTATTTTGGTTTCTTATGTTAATTTTTATTCAGAGACAGTTTTGCTGGGTAAAGAATTCTAAGCTGCAAGCTTTTTTCTCCAAGCACACTGAAAGTATTATATCTTCTGGCTAGCATTTTGGCATTTATATTTGAAAAAGAATGACATAGGTGTGGAGCTGGTAAATTAAAATAGCAAAAGAGGAGGTGTGAATCAGAAAGACATATTCAAACACCTCTTCAAACCTTGGTTTTCCCTTCTGTAAAATGGATATGTTGCATGATTGTTGTTAAGTTTAGGTGTTGTGTATGTTACCTCTGAAATATAATACGTACTCTTGGTCATTATGATTATTAGTTCTGTTTTCCTCCCTTATTTTACAGTTTCCACAGAGTTCATAGGTTTGAGCCTGGAGTCCCAGTGAATATAGGAATGGTGCAGGTGCACGACGGAATTCTCCTTCACTGAGATAGCCATTCAGATTAGTGGGAGAGAAGATAATCTGACGCCTTTGTCTTCATTCCAAACAGGAGGTTCTTCTTCCCTTCGGACACCAGATTTTTTGCTAAATTACTTGAACCCCCTAGGCACTATATTTAATAAAGTGAGAAGGTTTTATTATACTACACTGGTGTGAATTTAGGTCAAGTGCTACGTTTTGTTTCTAAGAATGTGATTGGTTTCCACCCATTCATTAATCAGTAGTAGCCTTGACTATACCCAGATAGCCAAGGAATAAGAAAACACAAAGGACTCTGTGCCGGGCTTTGCTGTCACACATGTCAGAGCAAACAACCAAATTGTGGTTGCTTCTCTGATTGGACCCCCCAGTTCACCTTGAAGACGCATACGCAGCTGCAGGGACATGCCTAAAGACGTTGTTCATTGCCCTCTGTTCTCCCCTGCTCCTACCCACACACACACACACACACACACACACCCACACACACACACACACACGAGAGAAAGAGAAAGAGAGAGAGAGAGAGAGGGAGAGAGAGAGAGAGAGAGACCACAAGTTTGCCAGTCAGCATATGCAATACTCTCTGGCATGGGAAGAGCAGTATCCTTACTCTCCCCTAGGCTAGGGCCCTCTCTCTTCCTTCCAATTGAGTATGGGAAGTAGAAGTAAAATTTATTTTTATTTTATTCATATCTGGCTAAAGTTACATTTAATTAGAGAATAAGAGCCTGCTAAGGATTAAGCATTTAACTAGATAAATAAGTCATTAAATATTTTGAAGACTTTTTAAATCCTAACAATGGGCATCATGTAGAAATACTATAAAATATATAACAATTCATCTGTTGATTGCTTAGGTTTTCACATTTTTGCTATTGTAAGCATTACTGTGTTTGATGGTCTTCACATAAATCTTCTTCCTCAAAATCAACTTATAAATGAATTCCAATAATCCAGGAAATATGTTAAAAGATAGTTTTTCAGCATGGGCTAGTCTATAGATTGGATGTCTGAGCCACTCATTGTCTTCTCAAACAGGATGATCTGGGAAGAAAAGAAAGGTTGACAGTGAGAAGGCAATGCCTATTCAGTACAGGAGGGGAAAGATGCTGCAATTTGCATTTTGACCTGAAATTTTATGAGATCTCAAGGTAGAAGTTGAGATTACGCACCTCATTATCTTCTGGATGAAGCCAGGTACCAGGAAGATAAAGTCTTTCCTGAGGCCCAATATTCCAATATCGCCCAAGGTTTCGTCCATTGATGAACACAAATCCATAAGTCCAATTCTGAAAGGAATCGTGACTTAAGACATAGGAACACTGGCAAGGTAAAATCTATGGCACTTGGGGAGTGAGAGCAAGACTGATAGGACTATGGCACTCAACATGAAAGTGAGTTTAGAATGGGATATGTTCTAGAACTTCTATCCTGCTATCTAGGAATGAAAGAGAAAAACATGAATGGAACTAACACTTTAACAGTAATACTACTACTGTTCCTATCCTATAATATATAATGTTATATTTTTTAAAAAGCAGGTCTTCTACTTCCAGAAATAAATACTGGTAATAGAGATAAACACCACTACTGACAACAGCTGTAAAATATATTCAGTTTTTAAAAATCTGCTTGCAATAAAATGAAGAATTACAGGATTAAGATCTAGGAAAAGAAAATAGACAAGGAGACAACCAGGTAGTTTTTCCACTAGAGGTCTCTGCTTATTCAGGGTTAAAGCAAAATGTAAAACATAAAATTGGCATCTCTGAAATGCTCTACATTAAAAGACAAAGATTACTGGATTGGATTTTAAATAAAGCAGTTATATGCTATGTATAAGAGAATCATCAAAGACATAAAGGCATTGAACAAAATAAAAGAGTAACAGTGGAAAAAAATGAAACATATAAACTCTAACCAAAAGAAAGTTGTTACAGCTCTGTTAATATCAGAAAAAAATGAGACTTTAAGGTAAGAAGCATCATTAGAGATAAAAAGGAACATTTTATAATAATAAAATCCTTAATTTACCATGAATGTATATGTCATATACAGGGAAGCTAAAAGTGCAAATGCAAAGTATATAAGCAAAATTGACAGAATAATAAGGAAAAATAAACAAATTCACAACTGTAGTGGGAAATTTCCATATAACCTTTCAATAGCTGATAGACAAAACAAACAAAAATCAATAAAGATATAAAACATTTGAAACAAGATAATCAACAAAATTGAACTAATTGACATATACAGAACATTGATCTAACATCTATAGCATACACCTATTCTTTCACGTGTATATCAGCATATTTTCAAGTTTGATCTCATGTTGAACTAATCAAGTCCTCACATATTTTAGTTCTTAGACTACAGTGTAATTAAACAAGAAGTTGATAGTACAAAGATTACTATAAAATACCCAAATACTGGGAAATTAAGAAAAATACTTCTAAGCAACCCACAAAAAAGAAATCACAAGGAAAGTTAGAAAATATTTGAATTCATTGATGATGAAAATAAATATTTGTGGAGTATAAGACTATCAAAAGAATTTTCAGCAGAAACCTTGCAGACCCGAAGGGAGTGGGCTGATACATTCAAAATGCTAAAAGAAAGAAAACTGCCAACCAAGAATACCTCACCAGCAAAACTCTCCTTCAAAAATGAAGACCATCATCCTAAGTGAAGTATCTGAAGAATGGGAAAACAACCACATGTGCTCACTATTAAACTGCAACTATCTGATGAGCACACATGTGCACGAAAGGAAGTAAATCTCAAAGGAAATCAAGCAGGGGAGGGAGGAAGAGGGAAGGGGTGAAACCTACCTAATGGGCACAATGAGCACTATCTAGGCGATGAGCACACTTAACCCTGACTTGAGCATTCTTACAGAAACAATCCATGTAACCAAAAACATTTGTACCCCCATAATACCTAGAAATTTTTCTTAAAAATGAAGGAGACATAAATACTTTTCTAGACAAGTGAAAACTGAGAAAGTTCATCACCTTAGACCTGACTTACAAGAAATGCTAAAGGGAGTCCTTCAAGTTGAAAAGAAATGACCTTAAACAGCAGCAGGGAAGCATACAAAAGTATAAATTCATTGGTAAAATATCATCAAGTTTCTCCCCAACAAGCGCACAGCCCGCAGTGTAGACTGCACCTTTCTGGACAACAGCACCAGGACATGCAGCCCTGCAGGCTGTGTACCACTGCCAAATGGCACCTTCAGACAACGCCACTTCCCTTACTGCAGGAAAGAAGTACAGTGCCACTACAGAAAATTTCTGGTCCCAGGGAAGCCCCTCAATGTCCCCAAGAACATGGCAGTTGTCATCATGTACACATCCTTGTGGAGCACATGATCTTTGACAATGCCCACAGCCATATAAAGGAAAAGTGAAGTTCAAACTTAAAATTCAGAAGTAAAAGAGCAAGAGTAGATACTTTGTAATTCCAGCAGACTCAAGAAGATTGGCCATAATCTGCAAGATATTTTACAGACCTTCCTTCATGGTTGGATTTAATTTGCCTGCCAGTTCTTTACCAAATCAGATGTTATAAAATGCCAGTACTGAAGTCAATTTGTTAACTACAGAGAAGCACCTATGTGTGAAGTGCTTACCTTTAGTATCAGCCATTTCTTATTAAATATTTTTTTTATTTTTTTAAATAGAATTTGTAGCTATGACAAAACTATTGGGCTAACATGACAAACCTGAGGCAACAATTATCCAATTAAAAAGACCTTAAAATGATTCATCTCTTTCTATGTAAACATCATTTTTCTTACTATAACTTTTTTCTATACTTCCATATGAAACACTACCTGTATAATATAAATTATAATATCAAAATTACTAATGCACTGATATGAAACATAGCTTATGATAATGTACATTCTGGATTCTTGGAAGAATGCAATTTCTAAATGATAAAAATGAAACATAATATTAAATTTATTCTTATTCTATGTAAAAATAAAATAAAAAGCATAAGGTTAATATGCAAATAGGCAAATTCATAAAGATGAGAAGACTCGTGTTGCCAGGTGGTAAAAGGAGGGGGAAATGAAGAAAGTAACTGCTTAATGGGTATAGCATTTCCTTTTGGGGTGATGAGAATGTTTTGCAGCTAGAGGCAGTGGTTACAACACTGTAAATATGCTAAGTGCCACTGAATTGTTCACTTTAAAAGAGTTAATGTTATATGAATTTCACCTCAATAAAAAAATATTGTAATAAGTTATAGGATTCAACCAAATCCATGCTTATATGATAATCAATAGCCTAGATTATGTGTTAAAAAAGAATAAAGACTAAAAATCCATTATCTAAGTATCTATCTCAAGAAAATATTAAAAATCAAGCAGGTTCATTCCCAGGTTTAGGCACCAAAACAAAACAAAACAAAACAAAATTTAACAAATTATTCCCAAACTAAAAAATAGAATAAATACAATAATAAAGATAATAACAAATTTAAAAAGCAGAAAAGAGATACATAATATAGTAAGAGTCACAGCCAAACACTGCTCTTTGAAAGATTAATAAAATTGATAATGTTCTGATGAGACTTATCAAGAAAAGAAAAGAGTACACCAATAACCTGTAACAGAAATGAAAAAGAAAATATTACTATAGATGAGCTAGAAGACATTGGAAACAAAAAATTTAAAGCCAATATATTTGAAAATTTATATGAAATGAGACTATTCCTAAAAAAATATATTTTATCAAAACTAACTTTAAAAGAACCAGAAAAATCTGAATAATACTTTAATCTTGAAAGAATTGAATCCATACTTAGAAACTTTCCCACAAAGAAAATGCCAACTCTAGAAGCCTTCACTAATGAAACTGATCAAATGTTTAAGACATACTAGTTTTGCACAAACTTCATTTCCCAAGTCATTTGTGAAGACCCTAAACATTGGTACCAAAACCTGACAAAGATATTCAGTCATGAATAGAAACACAAAAGAAGCCTTCACTTAATTATTTATCATAGACAAACACTGGAAGTAATCCAAATGCCCATCATTAAATAACTTATGGAATATTTATTAAAGGTGAAAATACATATATACAACGGCAAAAATGAATAAATCACTGCAACATCAACAAATGTCTGAATCTCTCAAACAACATTGAATGAAAGAAGCCATATTAAAAAAGAACACATGCCATATGATTCAATTACATAAAGTCAAAAAAGGAAACATTGGCCTAGAGTGTTAGAAGTCAAGATAGCAGCTACCTTTGGGGAGAAGGGAGTCAGTAATTGGGAGGGGTGCTAACAATACTTTTTAATCTCAATGATAATTTGATGATGTTCACTTAGTAATAATTTGTTGATTTGTACATTCATATTTTGTGCATTTATGTCATCTTTGTGTGTTTATGCATAAAAATAGTCTAGGTAAAAACTAACCTGCCACCCCAGAAAGCAAGTTGCAGGATATAATTTATCATATAACACCATTAGTGTAAAAAAAAACCTGTCTGTGTGCATTTAAGTAAAGTTATTTTAAAAACACACAAACTGTTGGCAGCGGTCAGCCCTGAGAAGCAGGAACTGGAAGGGGGTGAATCTGAAGGAGAACTTCCACACCCTGCTCTCTACATCTTGTGATTGTTTGAAGTTTTGACTGTGTTTTGATGTGCTGTTTTCTAGACAATAAGTTAGGAAGACTGAGAAATGTTGGAAGGCTTGGCGGGAGGTGAGGAAGAAGAGGAAAGGAAGAAAGGGCAGTGTTCCTGCCGGGAACACTATGGCTTTGCTTCGCTGTTTGGAACGAGAGTGTGGCAGAGGGCGTCTCGCTTACCAGCAGCCTCAGGAAGGTGTCCTTGGGAGAAGAGCCAGCCCTCAAGGTGCCACGGTAGAAGGCAGGGCCCAGATAGCTACCGGAGACAGGCCTCCAGGGGACAGAGCGGAGCCTGGAAGAAGGACCCAGCCATGAGGGAGAGGAAAACTCCTCCAAACTCCAGTCCCAGCGTTGACGCCCGGTTTCCCTAGCCGGCACTAGGACTCTGTTCAGGGAGATATATTAGATTAGACTGGAAGCATTAACATTAACATTGAAATCAGAAGACTTGCTCTAGGCAGGGCTCCAGTCCTGACTTCAAAGCACCTGATAACCTTGAGTAAATCACTGCAGTCCCCTGGATCCCGGCCGTTCATCTGCAAAGTGAGTGAGGGTTTGAAGCCTCTGGGCTCCCTGCGTTCAAAGCGTTCCCGGGGCAGACACGAGCGTACCTCTCAAAGAAGCTCGTTTTCATCTCCAGAGAATAGACAGCGAAGTTTCCCAGGGGAGTGTTGCTGATGGTGACAGGCCCAGTTAGCCCTGCAGATGGGAGGCGGGAAAGAGAATCTGAACAAGGACGGGCTGTTCTCCAGCGTCTGGGGCAAAGCGCAGGCAAGTTATGTGCCTGCAACAAGGGCTCAGCGGGGACAACACACGCTTTTCTGAGCTGCCATGGCTGAGGGTTTCTTGCTGTGTTTCTATACTACTAAGGAAGTTCCCCTGTTAGCACTGGAACTTCCCTGAAATTCCCAAAAGGAGTCTTGCCCTGCTCCGAGAAAAGCCAGCACTCAACACAGCTGTTCTGCTTTCCTGCCGTGGAGAACCAGAGAAGGCAGGATATGGACGGGAAAGGAGTTTGCATCTTCGGTCCTAGAACCCAGGTACTCCCACTGCTGAGGGGCTCATTTTTCCTCCCAACCCCAACAGCCCCAGTCTTAGCTTCCAAGTCACTGAAGAGGAGTCACGGCCCACTTCTCAGGCCCAGAGCCCACCTTTCTGCTCATTTTGCATTTTCCAGGAAAAATTGACTCGTCCTTGATTCTCCACGAGGATCCTCAAAAGCTGACAGCCCTGCTTGGAACAGACCAGTTCACAGAGACTACATGACCACGCGGGGCTCTTACTCTAGAACCCGTGTTTTTTTCTGAGTCCCAGATGGAAGGACGAGCAAATGGGAGAAAAGGAGGCTCCTGAGCCCAGCAGGTCTCCCTGTCTCACAAGGACCCCTTTGTGCTCCTAGTCCACGTAGTCTTCCCTTTCTCCTCTGCTGATCCCATCAGGAAAAGCAGGGAGACTCAGTCATGCCTTTAATCAGAGACCCAAACAGGAGCCAACGACTGACTCAGAGCTTAGCAGGGAATTGCATTCCCACTAGAGGGTGCATGCTGTGGCTTCCGAGCACCCAGGCCTGGGAGATGCAGTCACGCCTGCAGCCCTGCACTCTCCCTGTTGCGGCCCTAAGTGAGGAGCAGCAGCAGAGGGCCGTGGTGGAGAGAGGAGGTGGTCTGTCTCAGGACAGGCGGTGTTTGCATTTGAGTGGGAGATTCAGGGCATCACCTGGACTCTTGAATTACATACCTTGAATGGAAGAATTTGCAGATCCTGAATATCCTCATTCAAAATTCCTACAATTGTCTCATTCAAAAATACCTGCAAAAGAAAAGCAGGAGTCAGACTGCTTGGCCCACCTGAAGAAAGGGAGACAAGAGGCTGTGGCTGGGGCAGAAGAGGTCAGTATGAAGGCAGAGACTAGCCACAGTGCTCACAGACGTCTAGAAGCTAGCTACGGGGACTCAGCAGAGTTTAAGTCATGATAAAGCACAAAGAGCATCTACTTGACTTGAGTTTTTATTCCCAATGCCTGCCATATAGTAGGTGCTTCAGAATACTATCAAACAGGAGCATGGGCCAGTGACTAACTGCCTTTCCCAACAGCAGAGTGAGGCTAAACGTTTTGCGTGTCACTCCAGATAGCCTGCTGACACCTACCTGTGCCGTATCATGAACAAGAGCATGGAGGTAACCTCCGGAGCAGACAGGGGTCTCATAGAGGATGAGCCCATAGGACTGGCCACTTCCATTGTTTATAGGAAGATTCTCCATGTTGACCGGTTGATTCAACTTGACTGGCTATGAGGAAGACATAGCAGGAACAGAAGCCAAAGTGATGAGAAGTCAGGGTCCTTCTTCCTAAGATCCTTGTCACTTTGTGTGGTCCCGCCTAGTGGTACCCCCAGGGTTCTTTGAAAGGGACAAAATAAAACAGATGCTACCCAATGATGCTCTCATGGTTCAGATCTCTACTGCCAGGCAGCTCAGGGGATGGTAGGGCATGGTGAAGAGGGAACACTTGCTATAACCATTAAGAATTGATTATCACATTTTTGCTGCAGGAAATAAAAGGACTATGTGCAATACTTAAAAAAAAAAAAAGAATTGATTATCAGAATGAGTGAAGTGTATTCTAAAATAGCTGAAGTCGAGTGGTGAATCATGCACTAAGCAATCATTTATTTAGCCTTTACAATGGGCCAGTCACTATTTTTTATTTAAAATAGTGATAGCAGAAGTGAAACCAATATCAAGAGTTCCAGTTTCAAACAGCTTTCACATTTTCTTCAAAATAGGACAGGCAGTCTCAGTTTAGAGGGGAGCAGAGACCCACAGAGCTGGGTGATGTGGCCTAGCTGATGGTGCAGGGAAGACAGGCGCTCGGTCTCATGGGTTCCCAGCCCGGCAGCTTGTCCTGTGTGGGTCCCATGTGGCCCATGCAGTTCCAAACAGCTTTCGCCAGATCCTCTAATATCCCACCACCCTCCCCTACACACACTGAGTCTTCAAGTTCGAGCCCCTCACAGTCCAGCTGGAAGGAGCTGGTGGTTCTAAATTTGGACAAAATGTAGAGGATTAGTTATCCCACTTCCCAATGAAAAGTTCCTTGAAGGAATCCCTGCTCCATCTCTCCAGTGGCCACTCCTATTCCTCCTCTCAAGCAGCACTCACCTCACCTAGGTACTGGAGTGCATCCCACAGTGGCAAGTAGAGCGATGGCGTCACAGGAGGATACGCAGCCTTGGGAGTAGGTGTAGGTAAGCTGGGCAGGGGGGTTCCTGCAATGAAAATGGGTCACAGGGTGAAAGTGCCTGAAATGACCACTGCCTTCCCTCCTCCCATCCCCATCCCCTCCTCTTGCATCCCAGAGCCAATAAGAGAAATGGGTCCTACCTTGGGACATGGGTGTGCTTCTCCAAGGGTGATGGTAAACATGCAATCACTAAGTTAGAACCCTTTTGTAGCCACATGCACCCAATAGACACGGAGCCCTCTGAGGGGTGAGGTCCTTGGAGTTCAGAGCAAGGGAGCAAGGATTTTGCCTTACAACTTTAGGCAATGCCAGTGCTCACTAGTTTCTAGCCCTTAGTAGATGCTTAACTAACTTCATTTAAATAAATACAATTAAACAGGATCATTTTTGCTTTTGTGTTTGGGGTTACTATCCCATACATGATACTAAGAGCTTTACAGAGAGTGACTTACTTAATCTTTGCAATCATCACAGGAGACCAGTATCTTTACCTTCATGTTTCAGTGAAGAAACTGAAGCTTAAAGGGCTTAGAAACACTTTAAAATAAGAAAACCACACAGATTTTAAGTGGCAAGCCCAGGATTTGAACTTAAGGTTGCCACTGTCCTCAAGAGCTTCATCAAGTTACTGCCATAGGGCACATGTTTGCCTTCCTCACTCTTCACAGCACGCAGATGCACCACGCGGAGGGCTAGCCCTCTCTTTAAGTGGTTGCTAAGTACCTGAGACACGTTCAAGGAGTTTTCGAAGCTTGAAGTACTTTTCTGTGTAATCTCCGGCCTCTGTCAGCACAGCGTCATAGTCTGCAAGACACCCGCCTGTCAGGGCCATGCGGTCCCCCACCGCAGCCCTATTTTAGCACCACTGGCACAAGGTGGGCCAGGGCCACTGAGAGTGAGATGGAAGGGAGACACATGTCCCCACCTGTGTCCCATCCCAGGCTGGGGTGTGCACATGTCACACCCATCTAGGGACATTCCCCACAGCCCTTCCTGGGGACACTGGGCTCCTCCCTCCATTCACTTTCTGGTGGATCCGCTTTCTCTCCTCAGTCTGGATTCCCTGGCCATGCCTGACCGTGCCTGGCAGCCACCACCATGGGATTCCTGTCCCTCTAAGAAGGTTCAATCAAAGGGCTGGTGGATGAGAGCATGTCGTGGCGCACTAAGGCGTGGGAAGCCGTCTGCTGCCATGGCCGCCTGCCGGGGCAGTACGAACGTCACAGAGGAAAGGAAAATAGATCCAGAAGTCCTTGGTGCTCAGAACAGGCCAGGACAATGCCAGGACACGCGTCCGGACCCTCCCCCTGGACCCCCAGCACCGGCCCTGCTGGGGACGCAGCCACACAGCAGACACTTGCCATAGCTAGTGACAACACCAATGTGCCTCCCTAAATATGTGGCCCCGTTCATGAAACCGAAGTTGGTTCCACCATGGAACATGTAAACATTGAAGGAGATCTCGTATTTGATGAATCTAGACACAGTGTATTCAACGTCTGTAGAAGGGGAAGAAGAGAACATAGAGAAAATTAGAAATTAGGGAGAGGCAGAAGTCTCTGGTGAAATCTTACTTCCAACTCCCCAGCCCACAATTACAGTAAATCCTCGCGTTGCATTGGCCACAGTTCTTGGAAACTGACTCTAAGCAGAATGACATAAAGCAGGTCCTTGAATAATGATTATCCTTCAATGTTTCAATATAACATTAATGGGGGAAAACATATTGATTTTGTTATACATCATTTTCCTTAAAGCCTAAGAACTCTTATGTCACTTAAATATCTAATTTTCCTTAAATTTTTTGAAATTGTAAGAATAACTAGCATACCCTCATCACTACCTTTTAGGGTAATGCCTCTGGGCATACTGGCTTAGAACCACTGCAATAGTCAATGGCTGTCTTCAGTCTTTAGCCACAGAAGCTTTTGTCTGGCCACCTGTTTTAACACTCACAATCGTCTTTCCACAGGCACAATAAGAAGCAAGAAGGTTCAAAATCAGTTAGACACGGGATTCGATTCTGGCCACGCTCTTTACTCTTTGTACGAGCTTGGACAGCCTGTTGCCTTTCTCAGAGCCTCTGCTTCCTTACCTGTTAAATGAAGGTACTCATTCCTACTACATCATGGGACTGGTAAGAAAATTCATTGATGAGATAATACATATATGAAATACGGCAGAGTGGCTGACATACAAGAGATCTGAAAACTGTTTTTGGTGGTGGTGATGTTGTTGGTGGTGTTATTGGTGCTGGTGGTGGTTGTAGTGTTATTGTAGTTGGTGGTGGTGGTGATATTGTTGGTGGTGGTGGTGGTGGTTATAGTGTTATTGTAGTTGGTGGTGGTGGTGATATTGTTGGTGGTGTTATTATAGTTGGTGATGTTATTTTGTGGTGTTATTGTTTTTGGTGTTGGTGGTGGTGTTATTGTAGTTGGTATTGTTGCTGGTGGTGTTGTAGTGGTATTTTGGTGGTGGCGGTATTGGTGGTGGTAGTAGTGTTTTCTTTGGTATTTTTTCAGTCACCAAGTATTTTTCACTAGTTTTCCTTCATATGCAAGTGAGCTTGTTTTCATAATAGCTACAGCAAAATATATTTAGTAGCAACACAGTTTTATTAAGTAAACAACAACTGCCAGGCATTGTTCTACGAGACTGCGTTTAGTCCTCATGACCACTGTGAGGCAGGTCCCAGGATCAGCCCTGTCTTGCACGAGGACACGGAGACTCAGCAGTGACGGCAGCCTGTCTCCGGTCGTAGGCCTAGGTGGGGGACGGGGATGAACACCCTGCCGCTTTCGCTCCGGGAGCCCTGGTCTCAGCCGCCTGCCTGCTGTCTCCTGACCATCGTTCCCACGTAGTTGACAACTCCATGGAAAGGGACTTTGTGTTTTCCAGATATCATTAAGACTTTTAGCACCGCCTTCTTCAAACAAGTCATCTTTTCAGAGAAGCTTCTGTGACCATCTTCCCTTTTCTGGGCAAGTCTGTCCCCTGTCTTTTCTATCACTGCACCTCATTTGCTTGCTTCAAAGCACCTGCCAAATGAGGAACTATATATTGATTATTTGGCTTTTCAATGATTCGTTGACTCCACTAAATTATAAGCTTGTTGGGGGTTGGTGGAACTGTGTAATTTTTATTTCTCAGCACATACTCAGGGCCTGCTGGGTACTGGTACCTAACAGGGGGTGAGCGGATGAATATTTGGGGTTCAATGAGCAAATTAATTAGCAGAGAACTGTGTGAGTAATCCACGACTCACTGCGAAACACTTACCACTCGCATCTGTAACATGGTGTGGACTTCCCCACTTGTCGAACCAGCCGACCCAATATTCCATGACGAGAATTGGCTTACCCCTCTAGAAACAAATAAAATCAAATACTACGTCTGACAAAAAACAAAAAAGAAAAATCAGAAAACCTGAATACAACATATGAGAACTTGAGGAACTCATGCTTTTTCCCCTTTTCATCCAAAATTCTTTACCCCTCCCCAGGGCCCACTACACCTTGGCCATCATCCACGGCTCTGTGTCCTCCACTCCCGGACAACTCTGGTCTCCAGACTCCAGCTTTGTGTGCCTCCCTGCTACACCTGGAAAGCAACGCCAGCAAGTGCAATCTTGTCTTAGCAGAGGCTGGTGTTGAAAGAACCGGTTTTGGACACACAAGGACCTGACTGCCAGTCCTTATGCAGAAACAGAGGCTGAGATGACACTGCTGGCAGGGACAGACCACAACTGAAGTCCAGACCTGAGTCCAGCTGCCAGCACTGAGTCATGCTGTCTGTCCAATATAGTGCTCACTTTCTGTATCTTTATTTAATTTTATTCTACCTCATCTGTGTTGAAATGCCCATTGTAATGGTGTTTCTATTCCTTTTTTCCTTACTTCTAACAGTTCTTATTCTATATATTTTTGTTAGTTTTAAAAATATGGTATATAAAAAATCATCAATGTTATCACATATTTATGCATTATACCTTTTATTTATAACAAATAATTATCATATTAAAATTACTAATAATTACTTAACTTTTATCTGTGCTGGGCACAGACGGGAGTATTTTATTTACATTTTACATTTTATTTACACAACAACCCCAAGAGATAAATACTACCAGTCCTCATTTCACAAATGAAGAAACTGAGCTTAGGTAACCATCCAGGTTCACTCAGCTAGAAAGTACTAGAGCTGGGATTTGAACTGTTCCAGCTAGCTCCAGAATGCATACTCTTAAACCAATATACTGTATTGCCTCTGGCTTAACAACGACTTATTATCTAAAACTAGAAGAAAGCATACAAAAGTCATATTAAATACATTTCTCAAGACTTCTGAATTTAATTCTTGCCTATAAATATAGATCTTTCTTCCAATATTTGTATTATGGGTGACCCAAACTGTCGGATGCCATAGGCTTTCAGCCTGATACCTGCATTCCACCTCTAGCTTAGCATTTTCAAGGCTGCAGAATAATGTAGGTTCCTTTTTGTAAAGGCAATTTCTCCCCCACAGCATATCTCGCTGTGGAGTGGAGGGGTATATACAACCACAATGAGTAAGATGTGCAACGTTTGAGGGATGGACATGCTTGAAGCTCTTACTCGAGGGGGGAGGGGGGCATGGGCAATATAAGTAACCTTAATACTTATACCCCCATAATACGCTAAAAATAAAAATTAAAACAAAAATTAGTGGGATGTAGCAAAACCAGTGCACACAGGGAAATCTATGTCAACAAATACTTATATTAAAAGTGAAGGAAGGCCGGGTGCAGTGGCTCACGCCTGTAATCCTAGCACTCTGGGAGGCTGAGGCGGGCGGATTGCTCAAGGTCAGGAGTTCGATACCAGCCTGAGCAAGAGCGAGACCCCGTCTCTACTATATATAGAAAAAAATTAATTGGCCAACTAATATATATAGAAAATATTAGCCAGGCATAGTGGTGTATTCCTGTAGTCCCAGCTACTCAGGAGGCTGAGGCAGTAGGATGGCTTGAGCCCAGGAGTTTGAGGTTGCTATGAGCCAGGCTGACGCCATGGCACTCACTGGGCAACAAAGCGAAACTCTGTCTCAAAAAAAACAAAAAACAACAAAAAAAAAAAAAGTGAAGGAAGGAAAGTCTAAAAAAACTAGAAAAAAACCTAGAGAAAGAAGAGCAAATGCAATACAAAGGAAGAAAAAGTTAGAAAATGCTAAAGGTCAAAGCAGAAATCAGTGAAATATAAAATAAAAATGATAGAGAAAAAAAGAAGCCTAAAGCTAGTTCTATGAAAAGATCAATAAAACTGATAAACATACTGATCAAAACAAAAAGACACAGAATTACCAACATCAGGAATGAAGAGTAACCAACACTATTGACAACAAAGACATTATGTGGATAGCAAGGCATTATCACAAACAACTCGTGCCCATGAATTCAAAAGCTTCAGTGAAATAGAATTGAATACATAGAATAAATTCTTTAAAGATACACACTACCTAAACTCACTCGTTTTATTTTCCTGGATAGAACTTGAGCCCATCCTCCGAAGTGAGGTATCACAAGAATGGAAGAATAGGCTCCACATGTACTCACCATCAAATTGGCACTAACTGATCAACCCTATAGTGCTCACACAGTAGTAATATTCTTCAGGGATTGGGGGGTGGGGGGTGAACTCACAACTCATGGACACAGTAACATTGTAGGGGGGAAAGGGCACACCTCAAATCATGGTTTGGGTGTGACAAAGTCATAATATGTAACCAAAATGTTTGTAGCCCCATAATATCCTGAAATAAAAAAAAAAGAAAGAAATAAGCTGAATTGTCTTATATCTATTAGAGAAATTTCTAGATTAAAATCTTCTTTAAAAAGAAAACTAACAATTCTACACAATCTTTTCTACAAAACGGAAAAGGAGAGAATATGTCCAAACTCATTTTATGAGACCAACATTATCCTAATTCCAAAACCAAACAAAGACATTTCAAGAGAAGAAAACCAAGACCAACATCCCTCATGAAGACAGAAGCAACAATTCTCAACAAAATTGAACAAATTGAATTAGCAATATATAAAGTGATAACACATCACAATGAAGTGAGATTGATACCAGAAATGTAAGACTGGTTCAACATTCAGAGACCATATTAACCATATGAACACACTAAAGAAGAAGGACATCTGAGCAAAGCTGCATGACCTTTCGATTTGACTATGATTTTATATGTATGACAGTCAAGCATGATCCAATGAGCTATCAAAAGAAATGAAGCACTGATTCATGCTGCAACATGGATGAACCTCGAAAGCATCATGATGCATGAAAGAAGCCAGATGCAAAAGACTAGATGTTGTGTGATTCCATTTACATGAAATGTCTAGAAAAGGTAAGTTCATAGAGGTAGAAAGCAGATCGGTGGTTGCCTCGAGCTAGAGCGTGGAGCAGGGCATAAACAGCAATGAACATGAGGAAACATTTTGGATTGTAGAGATGGTGGTAGAACTCTGTATATTGACTTACATACATTGGGTGAATGTAATGAAGTATAAATTAGATTTCAATGAAACTGTTAAAAGAAAATGACAAGAGCTGGGCAGGTAGTGTACCTGTAGTCCCAGCTACTCAGGAAGCTGAGGTGGGAAGATCACTTAAGCCCAGAAGTTTGAGTCCAGCCTGGGTAACATAGTGAGACCCCGACTCTTAAAAAAGGAAGAAGGATGGCCGGGCGCGGTGGCTCATGCCTGTAATCCTAGCACTCTGGGAGGCCGAGGCGGGCAGATTGCTCAAGGTCAGGAGTTTGAAACCAGCCTGAGCAAGAGCGAGACCCCGTCTCTACTATAAATAGAAAGAAATTAATTGGCCAACTAATATATATACAAAAAATTAGCCGGGCATGGTGGCGCATGCCTGTAGTCCCAGCTACTTGGGAGGCTGAGGCAGGAGGATTGCTTAGCCCAGGAGTTTGAGGTTGCTGTGAGCTAGGCTGACGCCACGGCACTCACTCTAGCCTGGGCAACAAAGTGACACTCTGTCTCAAAAAAAAAAAAAAGGCACTTACAGAGGCGCCCCAAACACAGGGAGAAAAAGAAACCTGTCACGGTGAGGGAGCTGATTAAAGGAGAAAGGAATTTCTTCTTTGAAGACTAAAATATATAAGACTCTTTTTAAAAAAAAAAAAAAAAAAAAAAAAAAAAAAATGAAGGAGGAAGAAGGAAGAAGAAAAAGAATACAACTTAGTAAAGGTATTGAAAACCAGAGGTAGCCACGGGTCCACTCTGGCAGAGCCCCTTCCTTTTACCTGGTTGGAAACTGTGTAGAAAATGATGAGAAAAGGAAAGAAGATTAATTAGCTCTTAATTATAACTTGGGGGCAGGTAAGACAGAGAGCACTGGCGCTGTGGATTCTTTGGCCAGGGGGAGCAGGGAAGGCCTCATGCCAAGGGGAGGAGCGGCACGGGCGCGGCCAGGAATGAAGGGGGTGCCACACCAGGCCCAGCAGGCCGTGTCCGGGCTTTGGATGCCATCCTGGGCTCTGGGCACAAAGGAAGGGTGTTGAGTGGAGACTGTGATCACAGGGGTGCTCACGGAGCACACTGCTATTCTGTGGAGAAAGGATCTGTGTATCTCCTGCAGGCATGGACTATGGTTTGTCCATCTTTGTGACTGTCACAGGGGGTCACCCACTGAGAGGAAAGGAAAGGAGGGCTGCTCAATGCACGTTTGTTTAGTAAACCACGTGCAATACTCACTTGCTCCCATAACTCACGCAGCCTGGCTGAAAAAGGCTAACCCCACCCAAACCAGGAGTGAGTTGTCTGTAAGTAATACACACGGCCCACTTCTGAGCTCTGTCCTCAAAGAGGGAAAGAACATCGCCCCTTCTGATTCTATAACAGGGTTTTAGGTCACATAACCCCCTCGTCCTCTCCACGGGCCTCTCCACGATGTGACCCACAGGTTCCTCCTCATTCCCCACACCAAAACGCAGTGCACTCTCGAAATGGCTTTGGAACATGCTGGAGCCCCAGGGTGAAAAGCTGCAGACTTCCTGTCAAACGTTTTGTTTCCAGTGAACACCAACTGCACAGACAAAGGGGGTCATGGCAGGAGGACAGGCAAAGCTCTTCATCTCTAGGATATCTTACCTGGACTTTATAGAGCTGATTGAAAGCACCCTTGTGAAGCCTTTCCAGATTGACAGTGGCGAACACTGCAGAGAGAAGGAGAGGCCCTACTGAGGCACTGTGACAAGTGCCATCAGGGAAGGGCTGGAGGCCCACCCTGCACATGGGAGGGAAGGCGGCTGCGCGGTGAGGCTGACGGACGCTGCGTGCATCCCACCTTGCAGCGTACAAAGGGCTGCCACAGCCTTCGCCGCGACCCTGGACACTTGCCAGGACAATCTTTTGTACTGAGAAGAGCAGTTAAATTAACCACACTTTGTGCAGAGAAGTGAACCAGGCCAAGGTCATCTGACTTGATCAGACCTAGAAGGTGAACGCAGGCTGCCCGGCCCCCAGCTCAGCCTCCTTCCCAGGGCACCATAATAACCTGGGAAGAGCCACTGCGAAGGAAAGCACAGCAGCTGCTCTCCAGCGAAACATCGCCTGACAGATCCTCCTCTGGACCCGTCGGCCTGCTTGGTCATTTCCCTCACTTCTGTCATCTTATGATTCTGTCCTGAATTGTCCTGCTACTTTATTGTCTAGGGTCTATTAAGCCCGAAGCTGTAGGATCCCAGGAATGGGACTCTGCGATCGTCTGATTCCCCGTGTGGCTCCGCACGTTGGTGGGGGCGGCCCTATCCGAAGCCACGCCAAGCACGAATGCAGGCTCCAGCCACAGGAAAGTATGAGACACGGACAGGCGTACCGGGGAGCGCCGCTCCGCCACTGCTGTTCTAGACAACAGGAGCAAGGACAGGCGATAGAGTTGGCAAGTGAACTCCGAGCTTTGACCTTGAGTTCTTGTCCATTGTAATATCCAATCTCTGGGATCCATGTCAATGGATATGGGAAAGAGAGGCATCAGAGGTACACTTGGTTCTCTCTGAAGCTCGTTCAGGATTTAAACGAATTGGCTAAGAGCTTCCATTCTCCTTTGAAATAACTCTAGATTTGTACCTCCTTTGATGTGGCCCTTCAGCACAGCTGTCTCACTATCGGAGGTCAAGAGCAGCTCCACAATGCCTCTTTGCAGCAGGGTCTGTTGAAAAAACTGAACAGAATGAACCCACTTCCCTGGCTCCCAGGGGAAGAAGGAAATACCTTTGGCCCTATGGATCTGTAGGCTCTGCATGCATGGATTCAACCAACTGAGGATCAAAAATATTTTTTTTAGATTGAGTTTTCAGGCCAGGTGTGGTGGCTCATACCTTTAATCCCAGCACTTTGGGAGGCCAAGGTGGGGGGATCACTTGTGGCCAGGAGTTTGAGACCAGCCTGGCAATACAGTAAGATCTCATCTCTACAAAAACCTTTAAAAATAGCTGGGCATGGTGGTGAGCACGCCTTGTAGTCCCAGCTACTCAGGAGGCTGAGGCAGGAGGATCACTTAAGCCCAGGAGTTCAAGGCTATAATGAGCTATGATCAGGTCACTGCACTCCAGCCCAGGTGACAGAGTGAGATCCTGTCTCAAAAAAATGAATAAATAAATAAAATGACATTGCATCTGTACTGAACATGTACAGAATTATGTCAGGTATTATAAGTAATCTGGAGACAATGTTAAGTATATGGAGGATGTGCATAGGTTATATGCAAATGCTACACCATTTAAGTCAGGGACTTGAACACCTAAAGATTTTGGTATCTTTGGGGATCCAAGTCAACCAGGGGATGAGTATAAGGAAACTGGCAGATAGACACAGCAAGGTTCAGGTGGCAAGGTGTGAGTTAGAGACGGGTTTGGATTTAGTCTGACCACCTGCATCTCAGTGATTGGAGAAAGTCTCTGTCCCTGTCTCAGCTTGGTGTTTTTTTGTGGGGAATGGCCTTAAAATCAGCTGAGTATAGGCTCTGACACCCATGGTCAAAGCCTCCGGGGAAAAGAGCTGAGTTTATCAGGAAACACCCTGAGGAGGATGCACACCACAGGAAGGAAGAGGAAGACAGGCTGGGAAACACTCTGTGCTGGGAGGGAGAAGCTGAGGCTGAGGGTCTGAGAAAGATCAGAGATCAACTTCGCAAAGCTTGGGTCCCACCTAGACACTGTCAGAGAAACTGGTGTGGGGAGGAGAGGAGGCCTAGTCTGAAAAATTATATTTTCTAGGCCAGGGACCAGGGGACCCCGTCTGTGTGTTTCCTCTGTCATCAAGCCAGATCTAGGCCTGGGAGTAGAGTTGAGTGGCAAATTTTTAAATCAAGAAAAAATAATGCTAGCTGAATAAGACTGATTTGGGGAGGTCAAGCTAGCCTCTGAGTAACGATAGGAGGGGAATTACTCACAGACCTTGTTCAACTCGAGAAGCCACAGCTACAGAGCAGGAACCAGCAGGTGGCTGGAGCCCAGCCCTGCCCTCCTGACCCCTTCTTTGCCCAGCTGGTGACCCCTCCTCTGCAAGCATTCAGCCAGAGGCCTCTGTGCGCACAGAGCTAGGTCGGCAAGGGCAGAGCTGGGAGGGGTCAGGCCAGACCGGGCAGCCCCTGCAACCTTCTTAGCACCCTGAGGAGGGGGTCCCACTGAGACTGGGCCCTTATCAACTTCCTTAATGTGCGAAGTCAGGGACCAGGAGGAGCTGAGCCCAGAAAGGACAGCGGGCAGAACTGCAGTTATTTCCTGGCCTGAGAAGCCCTTCTGTGAAGAAGCAAAGGGAGCAGAAGAGAGGATGTTAATACTACTGGCTAGAAAGCTGCTAGCTGCTAGCCATTGTCATTAAGTTCGTGAAGCATTATTTACTGTAAGTGTAGATTCACCAGCCCCCAGCTTTCATGAGAATTGTGGGTCATAGAAACATCAAATAGAAAGGAATAATCTTTGATACCATGCTTTGTATCATAATAGATTTGTTGAAGTACATCTTTATTATCCTGACTATACTGTACATTCACAAAGAAACTGAACCTGATCTTCTGCATGGATTTGAACTGCACTCATATGCAGATTTTTTTCAATAAAAGTTACATCAAGTGTAACCCTCCTGCTTCCCTCCTCTGCTATTGCTGAGACAACAAGCCCAACCCTCCCCCTCCTCCTCTCAGCCTATTCAATGTGAAGATGAGGAAGACCTTTCTGATGATCCACTTCCAGTTAATAAATAGTAAAAATATTTTCTCTTCATTATGATTTTCTTAATAACATTTTCTTCTCTCTAGCTTGCTTTATTGTAAGACTACAATACATACTATAATGTACAAAATATGGGTTAACTGACTGTTTAGGTTACCAGTAAGGTTTCCAACAAACAGTAGCCTATTAGCAGTTAAGTTTTGGGGGAGTCAAAAGCTATCCTGAGATTTTCGACTGTGCTGGGTGTCAGCACCCCTATGCCCCACGTTATTCAAGGGTCAGCTGTATGTTCTCAGAATGCACCGTGCCTGGCACAGATGCCCGTGCAGCAGAGAATCAGGATCGTGTGCTGGAGAAGAGATTAAGGAAGAAGACATGTAAATGTGGAGACAAACCCAGCCTTCCTTACCTTGTGAAGATAGGGCATGTAGTTTTTATCCTTACTAAATGAACCGTATTCATTCTCCACCTGCACTGCGATCACAGGGCCTCCCTGGCGGTACTGAGAGACAAGCAGAGGAGAGTTGGGTGCCACTAGGGCCATAAGCCTGGAGCCACCGGGTTGCTGCTAGACACACCCGGCTGGTGTGGCATGCTCTGGTGCAAGGCTCCTGCTGTCTTCTGCTCTCTCTCCTCCCCACCCTGGGGTCAAAGTCCCCTCAGGCACTTAGCTGCTGCAGAAGTCCTACCTCCGTGGGAGCGCTGCAGACAGGCGGTCACACCTTCCCCTTTATTTCTCATACTAATTAGCTACTTAAATTTAATCTCTCAAACCTACAAACTCACCTGCTTCCAGGCCCATCCTATCCACTTTCCCACTGACGAATCAAAGAGACGCACCCTCTCCCTCTCACCCCCCCGTCCTAGGGTATTGTCACCAAGTGGCTTGTGTGCCAGTCCCATTGCCCTGTACCACCTGCTCAGGAGCTCAGCTTCTGCACAGTCCCTCTTCTGTTGGTGCCTTCCACCCTTCCTTCCAAACTGACTGACTCCCATTGCCATGGCAACGTATTTGGGCTCTTCACACTGGAGAGACATGCAGGAGAGGGCTCCAAAGTCCTCCTGCTCTCTCCTCTCTGGGAGCCACACTTTCCGTGAGTTACCAGTCATCTATGCGCCAGTGCTCTGCTTCCTCACTTTTAACTCACCCCCCAAGCACCTTAGTACAGCTTCCAGCCCCTCGCACCCCCTAAACCGTCAACATTGACCTAGCTGTGCTAAAATTAAAGCATTTTTCAGAGCTTAATTCAATCCTCCAATGTCCCTCCACACTCCAGTGCATTTCCTTCTTCTTAGAGCCTCTCCACACGGAAGGCGAAGTGAGCTCTCGGAAGCAAAGGTCTGGTCTTTACTCTCTCAACGTAATGCAATCGCGCCGTTCCTCCTGCCCACAGAGCAATGCCAACCTGGGAGTGTGGCGTCCCTTTGGGGGCAAAGGGATGCTGGCTACCAAGTGGGCAACAAAGGAGAAGGAGTGTGACCGGCAGCTTTTCATTTGCAAATCCACCTTCTGCCTCTTTCCCACCTCATGCTCTCTGGCCAGGCACGCTGAACTTCTTGCAGTTCTTCAAACCCCTCGTTCTGTCTCTCACCATCTGTTGCTTCACCCATACTGGGGACTCATGAGCACTTCCCCTGCTTGATAATGACTTACTGTGTGGACGTAAATATCCTGAACTAGTGAAGTGAGAACAATCGTTTCCATTTTTGAACAGTATCTTAACTCCAACCTAAAGAGGGACATTTCTAAAAACCTTGTTGTAGAATTCACAGTTGATTTTATTAAATAAACAGTATTAGAAGAATAAAAGACCCAAGTAAACCAGTAAATGCACTCTAAAAGTTATTTTTACATAATTAAAACAATGAAGACAATCAATTAAATAAGACTTTAAAATACTAATAATTTATCAATAATGAGCCCTATACATTTCACTTATATATAATTCCTTGCATCTTAAAAATTTTCTAGGATTTATCGCCCTCATAATATCAATGGGATGTTTATAAATTTGCTTTGTTTGCTGTATACATACGACTGTTAAGTGACATTTGTACTTGTGCTTGAACTTCCATCCAAATATTCAAAGTCCTTCTAGTTTTAAGGCTCACTTCTGCCACTGTGTCCCATCTACATTACAGAAATGCAACCAGAAACATACGGCTTCAGCCCTTGGTACAAAAGATGTATCTTGAGTACACCTAACAGACCCAGAGTTTAATCCTGGAGACGGGGTGCTCTTCACCTCTGCAGTGCCCATCTCTCAAAAGCTGTACTGCTTTAGGAATATTGTTCCTAAACAATCCTTCACTTTCCTTTCTAATCCCCCAGTTCTTCTCTTTATAATTATCCTAATAGGAATAACTCACAGTTCACAATTCAGGGTTAGTTATACACGGCTGGCTCTGTATGCCTGTCATGTTTTCTCCCAAACAGAAGAATCTAAAATAGTAAGATATTAGTCTACTGCCTAATAATCCCAGTTTTTATCCCATCTCAAGCTACATTAAGAAATATGTTTTTAAACTAAGATTTATTTTTACTTAAATAATAACAGTGTGCATCCTCTTGTTTGGAAGAGAGAAATATAAATTAAAACTTAAAAATAGAAATTAAAATATCTATATTTTTTAAGTTAAACAAAAGAATATCACAATGATTAAACAATTGCTGTCTTATAGACTTCAGGCTATAATGTTCAGTTTTTTTAATCACAGACCTGCCTGTGTGCTACAGGCTGACATTATGAAAATGAAGGAATTCCTTATGTAGTGCATGAAGTCTGGGAACTCCATGAAGCAGGAAATGCATGGCATCTGTGTTCTTCCCATTCTTGGGACTAAATCAAACTGGAATACAGACAGTAGTAAGTACATTCACACAGATACAAAATTGAGCCCAGTTATTATAACAAACTTGGAAAACCAAAATGTCCATGACTAGGGCACTAATTAAGTGAATTATGATATATCCATACTATGGAATACTATGCAGCTATTAAAAAGAGTGGCAGGTTTCGAAACTATTTTTTCAGATGACAAAAGAAAAATGCCCAGTGGAAATTGTATATTTTTATACAAAAAATATATATACACATATGTGAGTGTGTAATTTGCTTCTATATGTATAGAAAATCTCTGGAAAGATACACAAAAATCTGGTAAAAATTGGTTGTCTCCTAAAAAGGCAACTAAGTAGCTCTAGGAGAGGGTGGGAGGGGAGACTTTTATTTGACCATAAACTCTGTTGTACTTTTTAAGCTTTTTTTTTTTTTTTTTTGCCAAGTTAAGAGTCGAAATAAGCAAGCAGTGAGCTCTGTGACTATCACGTACATGTCACAACCTTGACACCCATTCATGCAGTCCCTGTCTTGTGGGACCAGAGTCTTTCCGGAAGCCCTCGGGAAAAGGCATAAAGTCAGGACAGGAAAAGGCTTCTGTCCTTAAGATGACAGCAGAGGCTTCCGTTACGAGAAAGCCAGCTGCGTTTCTCACAGAGACTGCTCATGGCCTATTCGGTGACCGAGCCAGAACAAACTGTTTCCCTAAGACGAACGTGAGCAAGAAGGACAAGGAAGTGTGGCTTTACCTGGAGAGGAATCACTCTGGGAATTAGATGATCAAAATACTTATCAACTGCCTCAGCGAAGCCCTTGCAGGTTGTCCTCAGTTGCAGCTGGGGGTCTTGCAGGAGCCAGCTGCGGGCGAGAGAGGCGGCTGGCGTCGGGGACAGGAAGGCGGGAGGAGGAGGAGGCGGCCGGGGCGGGGGCCAGCCCTCCCCGGAGCTGCCTCCACTCAGTTCACATCTGTCCGCAGGTCCCACGCCCTTGGTCCTAGAGCACTCAAGGCTCCCGAAAGATCCGTGCTGTGCGAGCTTTTCAGACTGTCACAGACTGGTGGGCTTCAGAGGAAAACCCGGGTCCCCGTCTCCAAGGCCCCCGCAGCTCGGCAGCGCTGTCAGCCCCGCCGCCAGACAGGGACTGAGCCCACGGCTCTCACACCCATACCTGAATGCACTTTTCCTTTTACCGTTTACTGAATGCTCTATTCTTTTTGAGTTTATTAAGAACATTTTTCTTGAGGACAGCATCTGTTCCTTAGGCACAGGGTCACATTTCCACTGAGACCTAAGACTTCACGCGCAGGACAGGAGCCTAAAAGCCAGTGACACCTCCTCCCGTGCAGGTCACTGGGCAGGCGCCCGGCCAGGTCCCCTCCTGCACAGGGGGCAGTCGCTTCCCGGAAACTCCCACTTACCCCAAGCTCAGACTTTCTCTGCCTCCAAGCTGGATGGGAGAAGGAGCCCATCGAGGAGACAAGCAAAGTCTTCCCCTGACCCTGGGGGTAGAAGTGCCACTCTGGGGCAGAGCCACCGGCGGCTGGCCAGGGGGGCTGTCGTCACGCAGGGCCAGGGAGAGGACTCCTGGGTTCCCAGCCTGACCCTCGTAATGCAGGCAGAGGGCCAGCAGCACAGAGGTAGAAATGAGCAAAGAAAAGCGAGAGGAAGGGAGGGGAGCTGAGGGTCTCAGCACGTGCAGACGGCGGCCTTCCCTCACCAAAACAGGAGAAAGATCAGAGGTGTCAGACCTTGCACGTGCTAGCTTCTGTCTCCCTTCTTCCCAGAGCGTGGGAAGAACAGAGGTGGCCAGAGCGCCTCCTCTCTGGGGAAAGAAGAGTATGAACACCCCGTGGCTGCTTCTGCCCTTGCACTCGCTCTTGAACACCGGCGCAAAGCACCAGGCCCGACACCTCGAGCTCCTCATCTGTGAAATGGGGACGACATTGGTACCCACGCCTCATTCCCACATTACTGAAGGCGTCACATGAAACAATGAAGGTAAAATGCATGGTGTCGTGCCAGACACACAATATGGGCTCAATAAATAAAGGTTACTTTTATAAATAAAGGTCATCATTATTAGACTGAAATTTTACTTTTTGTAAAGCAAAATACTTCACTATAACCCAACTGGACTTGTAGCCCCGTGTACCTGGGCAAGCCCCCGAGGTCGACCTCGCTGCAGATGTAGGGGCCTGGACGCAGGATCACCCACAGCCCGATCTCCGCAGCCGTCAGGACAAAGGCCCTGGGGAGGGAAGCGAGTCCGCGCCTGCCGTGTCCGTCCAGGGCAGAGGCCGCGGGCGGAGCCCAGCTCCTGTCCTCGCCCCTCTCTCACCCAGGCAGACTGACCGGGCGAAGGCCAGGCTCCGCCAGGCCAGCACGGCAGGGAGTCCCACACCAGCCCTGAGGCCACGGCTGCTCCCAGCCTCACGCCATCCGCACAGCCCATCGGGGTTAACAGTGAACCTGACCCCAACGGCCCCGCTCCCCTAGAGAGGCAGCCCCGTCCCAGCACAGGTGCTGCACCCCTGCAGAGTCGAGCGGCACCCGGGGCCTCAGGCCCCTCTGGGCTGCCGTGGAGAATGGGGCCAAGGCTGCAGCCCAGCCCCGTGGGGTGACAGGTCTCGCCTGGGGAGTGCTGGGTCCTGCGTACAGGGCCTCTCGCAGGGTCCTGAGAACAAGGCTCCATGCGCAGGCCCCTCTCTGGTTCTCTACAGTCCCTACTCCACCCGAGCAGCCACCTCTCTGCGCCCGCCCGGCCAGGTCACAGAGGTGGCAACACCACGTACTCCAGGTCCAGGTTCCCAGAGAAGTCAAATCTGCCTCTCTCTGGCTCGTGCAGGTTCCACGGAACGTAGCTGGAAGAGGGAAGAGGGATGGGTGATAAGCATCTTCTCATTTCTTTCTTCCAAATTGTTAGGTCAGCCCCAAACCCAACCCCAAACCTGGGGTATCTCTGTTTTGGAATAAGTTGGACTTTCCAGTGGAAATCAAACCTCTGTTGTGCTAATGATGACTATCCGCAATAGTTATTTGCTCTATTACCAAACTGTGGTCCAAACTACCACCCTTCCTATGAGTCTAGATTTCTTGTATTTATATATAAATTCTCCCATTCACTGCCTTCTTTTTTGTAACACTCATTAAAAATATAGAGAAAAGGAAAAGGAATACAAACAAAAATGTCTATATCTGCCCAATAAATTATTGCTTTGAATTCATCAACATAAGAATAGAGGAGGCGAGGCGTTTCTATGAAGACGATGGTGACAAAACAGAGGAGGGCACTACCTTTAGCACATAGCAAGGAGGGCCCCTGCCAGCCTCCTCCACAGGGTATGAGTCTGGAAAGTCAAAAGAACGTGTCCAATTTTTATTAGATGCTATTCTTATGAGGGACTATCGTTATTGTGTGTCACCGACAAGGATTTTGAGTGTTATGCCCTTAACATCATGTTTTTATTGTGCTTTTTATTATACAATTTTGTGCAGTGCAGAGATTTGTGACAATATATGTATTTCATTATAGCAGAAGGCATTGCATTTTAAGGTCTTTTGTTGTGGGGAGGAATGAATAATTGTTTTGCTGAAGACTAAATATGCACAGTAAAGTTAATTGCTATACGTTGAGAGAATAGAACAAAAAAAATTTGCTAAATATTACTTACAAGTAACTTTAAGGAAAATGGCTAGAAAAAGTTGGAAAAAAAGATGGGAAAAGATTAGATGAGTCAAAATGATTCTAGCAATACTAATAACAGGCAAATGGATTTTAAAGCAAAACTCACAAATAGGTTAATAGGAGTGACGTCAAGTAAAAATAAAACCAATGATTCATCAAGAAGATATACTAACCATGACCTCTTATGCTCTTAACACCATAGCTTCAGGAGAAGCTGACTGAGATAGAAAGAAAAGGGATAAACCAATTTCACAGTCATAGTGAAAGGATTGAAAATACTTCTCTAAGAAACAAAGATAATAAGCAGAAAAAAAAACTTGGAAGGATATGAATTTGAACAGCAAAATTAAAAGGCTAGATCTAATAAATACAGCTCTCTAATAAATAGAGAACCCAGCAGCCAACAGATGGAGCATTTACATTCTTTGTAAAAATGCATGGAACACTTGTAAAATACTGATATATACTATGTCACAAAGTAAATCTCAACAAATTCCAAAAAATCTGCATCATGCAGTCCATGATCCCACAACAAATTAAACTAAATTAAAAAATACAGTTAAAAGTAGCAAAAATTAAAATAAATAAATAAGAAAGTATATTCCCAAATAGCTTATGGGTCAAAGAGGAAACTACAACAAAAATTAGTAAATATTTGAAACTAAATGACATTTAAAGCATTATATAGCAAAAGCTGTGGGATATATAACCAAAGCAATATTTATAGGAACAGTCATATCTCTGAATGAATATATTAGAAAACAGAGAAGACTGGAAAGAAAGAAAGCTAAATATTCAACTCGGAAAACAAGAAGAAGAGGGAAGAGGAAGAGAATGAGGACGAGAAGGTACTAAATTAAATAAATTAGAAGAAAGGAAATTATACATAACTCAGAAATTTTGAAATATAAACCAAAAGATAGAGATTAACAAAGCTACAATTTAGTTATTTTTAAATGACTTAAAAATGATAATGTTAAGAAAAAAGAAAATATGGCCCAAGTATATAATATGATACATAACTTTTAAGTGTATATAACTCCCAGTTTTTTTGAGTTTCAAGATTTTTCTGGAGTATGTTCGTTAGGAAGGGAACTCCACTGTTCCTAATTCAAATGTGATTTTGGCTTTGGGCATGGTTTTTATTTGACTGGAGCCTTTGTTCAATGTGTAACATCAGTCACCTCCATGCCCATGTCTACGTGGCCACGCCTGGAGGAGGTCACACCAGGAAGGGAATTACCGTAGTGTGGGCTGTGGGCTCTGCAGCCACACTGCTTGCACCGCACGCACTCAGACAGCCCACATGCTCCTGAGCAAGTGATTACCCCTGCGGGCTCAGTTTCCCCCGCACAGTGGGAACTGCACTATCCATCTCACAGGACAGCCATGAGGATTAAGGGATTTGTGAAAAGGCTTAGTAAGTGCCTGCACTTTGAAATTCTAAATACACATTACCTTGTATACATAGTCATGTTAAATTTATGCTCATGTTAAATTTATGCTCAATTCTTCTGATAGACTAAACTGGGTTTGTATTTCTTTTTGCCACCATTATTGAGTATATATGTGTGCCAGGTATTGTGACAGGCATTTTTCATATAAATAAGATAAAGGTTTTATTTTCTTTAAGCAACACAACCCTATGAGGCTATTTTTTTAAAGAGACAGTGTCTTGCAATGTTGCTCAGGCTGATCTCAAACTCCTAGGCTCAAGGGATTCTCCTGCTTTAGTCTCTTGAGTAACTGGGACTATAGGCATATGCCCCCGAGCCTGGCTTGAGGCAATTCTTATTCTGCCCACTCACAGATGAGAACCCAGGGCCTAGACATGATGGTTAGAGGCAAAGCCGGGACTGAAGGCCAGATCTACCTGACACTAAATCCCTATGATCTTACTCATTAACCCACAGTGTTCACTTTCTTTTTTTTTTTTTTTCTTTTTCTAACTACAGTGAAAATGAAAATGTTCACTTTCTTTATGCCACTATACTTCATTTTAGTGATACTGGTATTTCATTACATGTTCAGTTTTTGATATTGCTATTATCCCTCTACATGTCCATCTCTATATACAAAAATAAGAATTGTTTTAAAACATGTGTGCATCTGTAAGTATGCATTTATCAGTAAGTATGCCTTGGGTTTACGCCACTGAACTGAGTGCCCTTAAGGGCTCCCAGTACTGCCCGTTAGACAGAGAGATTCCTGAGGAAATTGCCTGCTCCCTTTATATTTCTCCCACTAACCCTTCTCCAAGGCTTTGATCACAGAGAAAACTAAGGATGAGGCATAAGTGGCAGCTGGACACTTAAGCATAAAAGGCATGTGCTAGAAACAACTACTTAGAAGGTGAATCCTCACGCTGGGTCCCCAAACCAGAGCTCCGGTTCTGAGCCAGGATGCCAATGGTAGGAGCCCCTGTAGCGTACCAAGGTCATGGAGCGTGAAGAACCAGCACTCACGTGGTGACAGTGTTGAAGCCACAGGCCTTCAGCTTCAGCAAACGGTCCCTCCAGTACTCCCTGGGCACCCGGAAATAGTGGATGGAGCCCCCGAAGATCAGGAACTTGTGCCCCTCCAGGGTGAAGTGTGGCCTGCCCTGACCAGTGCTTTCAGTTTGAAGTCCCACAGATCTGTCCTTTAGCTCCAGAGGGGTCAAATGAGACCAATTAAACCTGGAGGGAGAGGGAGAGAGGAAGAAAGAGAGAGAAAGTGGACAGACAGTTGAACTCTTACCAGAACAGGAAGTTCTTGTTAGCAGGACATGTTCCGTGCACACTTGCAACATTGCTTTCCCCTTCCCCACTCAAGCAAACCTGGACTGGAGCCGATGTAACCTTCCAGGTACAAGGTCCTCTTTATGCCAAGGAGCAAAACCAGGTAAGATAAATGGCAGGAAAAAGACGCCGACGATTCTCTTCCAGGAGAGACACTGGCTGAAAGGAGAAATGGGAGGCAGTGAGAAGGGGAGGCACTGCCCTCAGCCGGCCACAAGGCCAGGAAGGTCTTGGGGGGGAGGGGTCTTCTCCTAGGCCGGGCTATCCCGCAGTCCTCCTCGGTCAGAACTGGAGGCTGGGGACAGACAGGAGCAGGACAGCGCTGAGCGCCAGGGGACGAGGTCCTCAGAAAGGAGAAGGAGAAGAGGCTCAGTGACAGGTGGGAGCACGGCCACCATCAGGCTCCGGAAGGACCCAGCGTCCATCTGAGCGCCTCCTCTGCATCCACAGCCCTGATTTATTCCGTCGGGTTCCATCGACAGCCCCTCAGCAGGGTGGCGGGAACGAAGGCATCTGCAGGAGAGAGCGTGGGGAGAGAAGGCGTATTGATGAGGAGAGTCTCAGCAGGAGGGTGTCCCAATCCTAATGTCCCCAGGGCCTGGAGACAATAAATACTCGTCGCAATAAATACCTGTCGATGACGGGCTGGCCAACAGAACCCAGGGGAAAGTCTAGGGCGCTCCAGGTACACCTAGGGCGAGCAGGAGCCTAGGAGGGGCATGAGGACAGCGGAGCATGAAGGCGGATGTCACCTGAGGAAGGGCGGGGAGCCCATCTTGGCGAGGCGAGGAGCTGAGGTCCCAGGTCCAGTGCTGCTCCGGCGCCCTCCGCAGCCCCCGACGCAGCGGGCTGGCTCAGGTCTGTGATCCCAAGTCCGGAGCCCGGGGCGGGGGCGGGGCCGGGGGGGGCGCAGGGGCGGAGCCCGGGGCGTGGGCGGGGGGCGCGGCGGGGGCGGGGCCCGGGGCGAGGGGGGGGCGGGGGAACGGGAGCCCACGGCAGGGTCGGAGCCCGCCGCAGAGGGTTCCGGGCGGCAGGTCCGCAGAGGTCCGCCCCGCGGGGGTGTCCCGCCCACCAGTCTTGGCGCAGATGCTTTTCAGCCCTTGGAAGTAAAGCAGGAGGATCGTTGTGTTTCCTAAACTGGGTGTCAACCGCCAGCCGGCACGGAAAGGCGAGCGAGTGGCGGAAGGGGGGGCGACCCCGTCTCCGCGCACCGTGGGTCCCCACCTCCGGCGCGCCCGCGGGGGCCGGCAGGGCTCCAAGCTAAGCAGGCACGGTTGAATACGACGCGTAGACGCTAACGTACAGATTCCACAGGGCCCATGGAAGTCCAGGCGAGGCACACAGGGTACCGGAGAGCTGGGGCTTCCCAGCGCCTTGGTAAAAGAGTGAGAGTTGCCAGGGCGGAGCAGCGGCACCCAGGGCGGAGCGGGGCGGCACCCAGGGCGGAGCGGGGCGGCACCCAGGGCGGAGCGGAGCGGCACCCAGGGCGGAGCAGCGGCACCCAGGGCGGAGCGGAGCGGCACCCAGGGCGGAGCAGCGGCACCCAGGGCGGAGCAGCGGCACCCAGGGCGGAGCGGAGCGGCACCCAGGGCGGAGCGGAGCGGCACCCAGGGCGGAGCGGAGCGGCACCCAGGGCGGAGCAGGGGCACCCAGGGCGGAGCGGCACCCAGGGCGGAGCGGAGCGGCACCCAGGGCGGAGCGGAGCGGGCGCTGCCCAGCCGAGCAGCAGCGGCACCAGGCGCGCGCACGCGGTTTGCGGCTCTGCAGTCTCAAAGCAGCGGGAGACCGGCAGGGCAGGCCCGGGAGTGCCCCGCAGCCCAGCCTCTCTCTAGAGGACAACAACGGGCAATTATTAAGATTGCAAGCAGCAGCTCAGACTTTAGTTTTACGGAGATTACTTGCCTGCAGGATGGAAGCTAGGTGGGAAACAGACCGGTCATCCCAACAGACCTGGTGACGGGGATGGAGGCTTGCGTCGTCTCAGGGTGGTGACACTGAGCAGGAGGAGGAGATGGATTAAGGAAGATGTGTGTGAATTGGTAGCTCCTGACCATTGGCTGCACGAGGTGAGTGACACAGAGAGGAGTCCGGGACGACCACATTTCAGGCTTAAGTCACTTGGTGTTGTCATTCATTGAGATCAGGAACACAGGAAGTGATTAGAGGTTTCAGTAGAGAAGAGTGAGGAACTCAGTTCCAGAGTGCTAGATTTGAAGTCCGTGTGAAGAGACTTCGAAGAGAGACATCTTCTGACCCTCCTTTGAAGCCCTTGCGTCTCCTCTCCCGTTTGACATCAGCTTCAAATCAGAAATATATAATAGTTCTCGGAGAATATTGTGGGGTTTTTCCTCTCATCTCATTCATTACAGGTATACTTTCCTCTTTGAAACCTCAGCTCCCTGAAAATTTTGTACATTTTCCATCTTTTCCTCATTCTTAGGTTGTAAACAATGGACTATTATGACTTTTTACAGCTTGGTTTTACAGTCACATAACTTTATTCCTTTTTGTCAAGATTAAACGGTTCTAGGGCTGATATGCCTTTCCGTAGAAAATTTTAGAATAAGTTTATCTATTTCTGTAAAAAGATATCCTGGAATTTTGATAGGAATTGCATTAGACCTATGATCAAGCTGAGGAGAATTGGCATCTTAACTGTGTTGAGTCTTCCAACCCATAAACATGGTATGTCTCTCCATTTAGTTAGGTCTTCTTTCACTTTTTTCATCAGCATTTTGTGATTTTTTAATATGCACATCCCATGTATGTTTTGATAGGTTTATACTTTAGTATTTCATTTTCTTTTGAACAATTTTAAATGGTACTGTATTTTAGTTTTGACATGTTTGCTATTAGCATATTGAAATGTGGCTGTTTCTCATGTTGCTCTTTTATCCAGTTACCTTGGAAAACTCACCTATTAATCCTAAGAGATTATATACTACTTGGTCTTTTCTATATAGACAATCATCTCATCTGTATATATGAATAGTTTTGTTTCTACCTTTCCAATCTGTATGGCTGTTTATTTCTTTTTCATGTCTTATTACAATGGCTAAAATGTCTGTGGCAATAGTGGCAAGAGTTACCATCCTTACCTTATTCCCAGAGTCAGGTAGAAAACATTCAGTTTTGATGTTAGCTATAGTTTTGTGTACATACTCTCTATCAAGTTGAAATAGTTCCATTCTATTCCTAATTTTCTGACAGCTTTTATTTTGAATGGGTGTTGGATTTTGTCAAGTATTTGAATGATCTTTTTCCTTATTTCTGTAACATGACTATCCTGATTTTATTCCTGAAAGATACTTTCACCCATTATACAATTTTCATTTGGCAGTTCTTTTCTTTAAGCACTTGAAAAATACTGTGCCACTTCCTTGTAGTCTTCATAGGGTTATATTCCATATCTCATAATTGACTCTTATGCCAAGTGGGGTCCCCCTAAAGGTGATGTATAATTTCTCTCTTGCTGCTTTCAAGATTTTTTCTTTATTTCTAGTTTTCAATTTAAATATATGTATCTTAGTGTATATTTTTTGGGTTTATCCTGTTTGAGTTTAATTTCTTGGATTTAAGGTTTGGGCATTGAGTCAAATTTAAGGATTTTTAATCCATTTTTTTTAACTGGGATATAATTCACAACCATAAAAATTTTCCATTTTTAAGTATACAGTTCAGTGGTTTTTGGCATATTCTCAAGGTTGTGCAACCATCATCATTAGGTCCAGGGAATTTTCATCACTCCAAGAAGAACCCCCATCGCCATTAGTGATCAATCCCCATTTCTCCCTCCCTCCAGCCTCTAGTAACCATGAATCTATTTTCTGGTTCTATGGATTTGCCCACTTGGGACATTTCATTAAAATGGAATCATTATAATATGTGATCTTTTGTGACTGGCTTCTTTTACTGAACATAATATTTTCAAGGTTCATTCATACTGTAACATGTATCAGCACTTCCTTCCTTTTTATGGCTGAGTAACATTCCACTGTATGGAATGTTGTCTATCCATTCCTCAGACATTTGGGTTGTTTCCACCTTTTGCCTATTATAAATAATGCTGCTATGAACATTTGTGTACAAATTTTGTGGGAACACATTCTTGCAATTCTCTTGGGTATGCTCCTAGAAGTGGATATCAATTATTTTATTGAAATACCCTTTCAGGCCATTTTCTTTTTCTTCTCCTTCTGTGACTCCAATGATGTAAATGTTGGATCTTTATTTTCCCATAGATTCCTGAGCTTCTACATTTTTATTTGTTTAGTCTATTTACTCTGCATTTTCAGATTTGGTGAATTCTATTATTCTATCCTCAATTTCACATATTCTTTCCTCTTCCCCCTCTGAGCTGCATGCTGTGCTGGTTCCCTGCCCACTCCAGTGTCATTGGGAGGGGAGGAGAGCCTCAAGTGTGCAAGGATAGAGGCTTCCATAAACAGGCCACCTGCTGTTGCTGGAACCCTTTTTCCAGCAACAGCAAGTGACACCTGCCTTGGTGTCACTGCAGGGGGTATAGTATCCATATTCTTAATAACAACTCAGTATTTTATTTGTAGTATTAATAATCAAATTGAAACCTAAATGTGTGCACAATTTGCCATACTTTCAATTTTGAAAGAACTGTCCTACGTATAGAAATTAAAAAATAATTGCACTAAGATATAAACAAGGATAATAAAAATATTTAAAATTATAACTGCTTATATATTATATATAATATATAATATATATTATATATAATATATATAATATATATTATAACTGCTTATAACTGCTTGCTTAAATATAACAAGTTCTATCATCTAGTGATGTCTCAAAACTCTAAAATTTGCATGTTTGGTTGCAGAGAGGAAAACAGTAGATTTTTAGCATATTCTGAATGTACTTAAGAGGAAAAGTTATTGGATTGAAGAAATAAAATGTTATATTATCTTAAAAAGTGAGAAATGGAAATAATCTGCAATAAAAATATGTGCCCAATGTCTTTCTGTTAGTGAGAAAATATCAGGTCTAGGATATAGTTGCCCCACTTCTAGTGACCATCAAGAAAAACTTTTCAATACAATGAAGGGTAATGGTATTCATTTTACCCTTTGTCATGGAAAAGATGCACTCTCTTGCCTTAAATAGCTAGAAAACCAGACCAGATAAAAATATTTAAAACAATAATTTTCCAACACCGGACAGCAGGCAGCACAGAACTGTGAGAAGGGAAACCAACAAAATAAGCCCTGTGATTGCATGAGCTTCTTGTCTGCAACCAGTCTCCAGGGGCAGCATAGGAAGAGGAATCCAAATAAAGCCCAGAATTCTTGCTAGGCTGAGGAGACAGAACAAAGTACAGAAGGAGCAAGGCAGCTACTTTGTGGAACAAAGTACCAGAGAGGAGAAATCTGCACAAATGGTTCTAGAGATCTACAGAGAGGTTTCCTTGAGTCTTTGGCTGAGTTCACATTTACCAAAGATTAACATGTAAAAAATGAAACTGTAGAAATACTATAGGGGAAAAAACAAAAATTGAAAGATGTATAAATAATAAATTCACAGAAAGGAAATACAAGTGTCCATAATATGTGAATAAAGGTTTAGCATCAACAATAATGAAATAAATATAAATGAAGTGTCATTTATATAGAGAAGTTTTTGGTTTTGGTTTTGATTTTGTAGAGATGGGAGTCTCACTACATCACCCAGGCTGGTCATGAACTTCTGGCCTCAAGCAATCCTCCTGCCTCAGCCTCTGAAAGTGCTGGGATTACAAGGAGGAGCCATTATGCCCAGCCTATATGGAAACGCTTTGACACACTGACAAAAACCGTTTTATGAGAATATTAGTAACTGTCATCCTCATATACCTGTTGATTCATCATATTTCTAGAAATTTAAAATGTTCATCACAAAAGGTAAAAAAAACATATTCTAGGTATCATCTTGACTGGATTAAGGGATACCCAGGTAGCTACTAAAGCATTATTTCTGAGTATGTCCGTGATGGTATTTGTGAAAGAGATTGGCATTTGTATCAGTGGCCTGAGTAGGGAAGATCTGCTCTTACCCAATGCAGGCAGACACCATCCAATCAGTTGAGGACCCAGACAGAACAAAAAGACAGAGAAAAGGCAAATTCATTCTTTCTCTTTCTCTGTTTCTCTCTCTCTCCTCTCTCCTCTTTCTTTCTCTCTCTCCTGGTGCTGAGACATTCTCCTGCCCTTGGACATCAGAACTCCAGGTTTTCTGGCCTTCGGACTTGGTCTGAGCCATGCTACCAACTTCCCTGGTTCTCCAGCTTGCTGTCAGCATATTATGGGACTTCCCAGCCTCCATAATCACATGAGTGAGGTCCCACGGTAAATCCCCTCTCATCCATCCATCCATACTACTGGTTCTATCTCTCTGGAGGACTCTTACTAGTATAGCAGTTTACTATATACATATTCTTAACCACTGCCACACTGAAGACCATTTCAGCCATCTCCAAAGTGGTATTATAATAAGCAGTCTTTAATGATTATCCTTGGATATGCATCAGAGACTATTTACCATATTGTAATAATAGGTAGGTCTGGACGGTGGAATTTTGAATAATATTAACTTTTATATGGGGTTTATATTTTGTGAAATCGTTTTACAAAGCCACAGAAAGAATTACACTATATTTGTTCATTTCTATGTCTTCCTTAGGTAAAAGTGGGAAGATCAGCTTCTGAGAGAAGGGGACTAACATGGTGGGCTAGAGGCAGCCTGCACACACCACTGTCAGGCAGAACACAGAAAACTGCAAATATTAGGTTAAAGTATCAAATGTCCAATTTCCTTAAGTACTAAGTTTGACAGCTGATATCTCAGACACTTTACTTTGACACTTCTTGTTTTATTTTTATTGTGAAGGAGCATCCTCATTCTTTCAACTACATGGTTTGGCTTGTGATTATCTTTCAAATTTTTTAGACCCATTTTTGTGAAACCATGGATAAGCCAAAAATTCATGTTATTTTCAAATATGAGCTCCATCACAGAACCAATGCTGCACAGACAGCTCGAAATATCAATGTGTTTGGGAAGGATGTGGCTAATGAACACACAGTACATCAATGGTTTGAGAAGTTCCATTCTGGTGATTTCAATCTTGAAAATGAGTCATGTGGGCAACATGAGACCAAAGTGGATAATGATGAGGTGAAAGCCATAGTGGAAGCAAATCCATCTCAACCTAAGTGTGAATTACCAGAAAGGTTCAACATTATTATTCCAACAATATTGGACCATTTGAAACAAATCAGCAAGGTAAAGAAGCTGGATAGATGTGTACCCGTGAATTAAACATGTGTCAGAAGAGAAATTGTCTGGAAGCTTGCCTTTGCTGTCATGACATGAAAGCAAACCATTTTCACACCATATTGTTACCTGTGATGAAAAATGGATTATTTTTGACAAACATTGCAAGCACTGAGCACAATGGTCGGACAAAGATAAAGTGCCGAAACACAGTCCAAAACTAAATATTCATTAAAAAACCTGACAGTGTCTGTTTGATGGTCCAGCGCTGGTATTATCTACTACAGCTTCATGAAACTGGGTTACTAGATTACAGTGGATCTGTACTGCAACCAATTGTATGAGATGATGAGGATGCTGTGATTAAGCAGCCAAGATTGGTCAATAGAGACAGGCCAATCTTCTTGCAAGAAAACATTTGACCATATGTTGCACAAACAACGCTGCTCAAACTACAGAGGCTGGACTTGGAAACTCTCTGTCATCCACTATATTCACCAGACCTAGCACCAACTGACTACCACTTCTTCCAGGCTTTGGACCACTTCTTTTAAGAAAAATATTCAATTTTCAACAAGCTGTGGAAAATGCCTTTAGTGATCTCATTGCCACTCACTATCCTGGGTTCCTCGCTGCTGGCATAAACAAACTACTGTTAAGATGGCAAAACTGTATCAATAGTTCAGGTGCATACTTTGATTAATTGTCAGTACATTTAAAGCAGTACTATTAAACTGCTTCTTGTTTGAGATATAATAAACTACGTTTTTGATTTGGAATTGGACATTTCATGCCCACCTTGGACCCTCTTGGAGAGAGCACTGTAGATCATCATGGAAGCGACAGGAGACACTCAGAGTGGAGGAGACAAGGATGAGGAGTTCCACTCACCACGATTGGAAGGTACCTGGGGGGTACCCCTACACATAAGGAAGGGTCAGAAAAAAGAACCCTAGCGTCCCACATTCCCTGTGTGGACACTGATACTTAAGCTATGCCACTTTGCCCACCACCACCACAGGTCCCTGTGCTGATCGGAGAACTGCTTGGAGAACTTGCATCAGAGAGCAGGCCCAGCAGGGAGCCACCAGCCTCAGTTCCCAGGTTGTTGCAGCGGACACTACTCTGAGCTTTTGGGTCTAGAGCTCCTGGTCTACACAGGGGATCAGCTTTGTTGCAGCTGCCCCAATATCACCCTTTGCCAAGCTGGGGAGGAAGCAGGGAGAGCAAACACTCTTGCATGCCTATGACTTGGATCTGGGTGCCCTAACCCACCAGGGAACTCTGTGTGGTAGACCAAGCCCTCTGGTCCTGAGTGCTGGCTGGCAGGCCACTCCCCTGCAGACTCAAGCGCTGACCAGCAGAACCAATCCCCGACTCTGCACACCAGCCAGTGGGCTATGCCCCAATGGCACTGTGCAATGCCACACTTATAGTCCAGCTATGCACTATGGACCTGCTAGCCACAAGACACTCCCCACCACTTACTGTCATTATACTTAGATATGGATGGAGTGAATGCCCACAGCCCTGACACCTACAGCCACTGCCTAGATAGTCTTGCCAAACAGCCACTCCCACCACTGTGGGGAGACCTGGGCAGAGCAATCTCTTTGAATGCCACCTCAATGGAGAGGCACTCACCAAGTCCCTTGTCTGAGCTTCCAACAGTAACCTAGGGACTAACCTAAGGGATCTCAACACAAAGATCCCCTAGCACTCACCAAGGTCCCATGACATACCCAGGCACCTGTCAAGGTCCTGCAACCCACTAAGGTCCTACAACCCATCAGGCACTAGCTAAGCTCACATCACCCTTTTTTGTGGAGAAGGACTCATGCAGTCCCCCTACCAGAGTTCCCAACAGTGGGCTAAGGAACACGAATCCAAATGAATATCCCACAGCATTGGTTTGGACTGTGACAATCACAGGGTATCAAGACAATGCAGGAGCACAGCTGTGTTACAGGATCTAAGTGCATCCACCCTCTCCCACTGGGTCAATCCTCTGGAGTGGGACACAGAAGCATTATCTAGGGAACTTTCCTCCTTCTCACAAAGTAGGAGAATTCCCAGCAAAGGAGAACAGGTGCACTGCAAACCTATCAGCTCTGAGCTGAGACAAGAGGGTTCAGATGAGAAGAAATCAGCAAAATAATTCTGGCAACATGAAAAAACAAGCTAGTTAGACACCACCAAAGGATCACAATAGATCTACAACAATGGACCCCAACCAAAAGGAAATTGTCAAAATGTCAGAAATGGAATTCAGAATAGATGCCAAAAAAGATAAATGGAATTAAAGAGAAAGTTGAAAACCAACATAAAAACGCAAAAAAAGAAAAGTTTCAGAACATAAATGAAAAAGAAAAACTGGCTAAAGAAATTGACAACAAAAGAAAGGATACAACAGAACTTAAAGAAACGGAGGAGACATTTAAGGAATTACAAAACACAGGAAAAAGATTCAACAACAGGCTAGACCTAGCAGAAGAAAGAATATCAGAGCTTGAAGACACAGTTTTCAAACTAACCCAGTCAGTCAAAGATGCAGAAAAAAGAACAAAGAAGAATAAACAATCACTCAGAGAAATATGGGACTATATGAAATGAGCCAATATATGAATTATAGGTATGCTGGAGGAATGAGAAGAAAAGGCAAAAAGCATGGAAAACCTATTTGAAGTAATTATTGATGATTACTTTCCTGGTATTACCAGAGATGCAGATATCCAGATAGAAGATGGTCATCAAATACTGGGAAGATTCATATCAAATATATTACTCCAAGACACATAGTCATCAGCGTGGCCAATGGCAAAATGAGGGAGAAAATTCTACAAGATGCAAGAAGAAAGCAACAACTAACCTACAAAGGAAAACCCATCAGACTAACAGAAGACTTATCAGCAGAGACCTTATAAGCCAGAAGGGATTGGGGGCCCCATTTTTATCTTCTTAAACAGAATAACTGCTCACCAATAATTGTGTATCCTGCAAAACTAAGTTTCATAAATGATGCAGAAAGAAAAATAAAGACTTTTCCAGACAAGCAAACACTAAGGGAATATGTCACTACTAGACTGCCCTACAGGAAATGGTCAAAAGTGCATTATGCATGTAACAGCACGATAGACACTCGCCAGTGTAAAATCACCCAAAAGTTAGAGCTCACAGCTCTAATAAAACAGTATCACAAGAAGAAAAACAAAACAATAAGGTATCATCCAACATGATGAACAGAACTGCATGCCATATATCAATACTCACACTCAATGTGAACAGTCAGAATGCCTCATTCAACAGACAGACTGGCTGAATGGATGAAAAATCACAATCCAAGTATTTTCTGTCTCCAAGAAACATATATGAACCACAAGGACTCACACAGACTCAAGGTTATGGGGTAGAAAAAATATTCCATGCAAATGGAAACCAAAAGCAAACAGCTGTAGCCATTCTGATATCAGATAAAATAGACTCACTCAAAACTACATAAAGTCATTGAAATTAAACAACCTGCTGTGGAATTATCCTTGGTTCAATGATGAAATTAAAACTGGCCATCGGTGCCTCGTGCCTAAAATCCTAGCTACCAGAAGGCTAAAGCATGAGGATTCCTTGAGCTAGGAGTTTGGAACACTTGAGCAAGAGCAAGACTAATCTCTATCAAAATAAGAAAATTAGCCAGGTGCCAAAAAAAAACAATGGTGCAAAAAACACCTAAAATAATACCTAAATAAACAATGGTCCAAATAAAAAGCAAAGATAGTCATTATATAATGGTAAAGGGAGCAATTCAACAAGGAGACATAACAACCTAAATATATATACACCTAAACAGGTGCTATCATTTTATAAAGCAAATTCTTCAGATATAAGCAAAGAAATAAATAGTAGCATCTTACTTGCTGGGACCTTCCACACTGACAGAACTGGACATATCATTGAAGTAGAAAATGAACAAAGAACCACTGGACTTAACAGGAGTCTAGAACAAATGAACATAACAGATACTCACAAAATTCTACCTCAAAACTACTGAATACATCTTTCTCATCAGCACCATGGGAAATCCTTCAAGATTGATCATATCTTAGGCCACAAAACAACCAGAAAAACTTTTAAAAATCAAACCATACCATGTATCTTCTCAGACCACAGTGGAATAAAACTAGAAATCAATTCCAATAGAAACACTCAAAACTACATAAAGTCATTGAAATTAAACAACCTGCTGTGGAATTATCCTTGGTTCAATGATGAAATTAAAACTGGGCATGGTGGCTCATGCCTATAATCCTAGCACTGCAGAAGGCTAAAGCAGGAAGATTTCTTGAGCTCAGGAATTTGGAAACACTTGAGCAAGAGCAAGACCTCTTCTCTACCAAAAATAGAAAAATTAGCCAGGTGCCATGGCACATACCTGTAGTCCCAGCTACTCAGAAGGCCAAGGCAAAAGGGCCACTGGAGCACAGGAGTTTGAGGTTGCAGTGAGCTATGATGACACCACAGCACTCTACCCAGGACAACAGAGTGAGACTCTGTCTCAAAACAAACAAACAAAAAAAATGATGAAATTATTGATGGAATGATGAAAATATGATGAAATTAAAATGGAAATTAAAAGATTCCTCGACTGAATGACAAAGGAGACACAAATTTTCAAAAGTCTATGGGATATAGTAAAAGTAGTCCTAAAGGAAAAAGTAATAGCCTTAAATGCATACATCAAAAAGACAGAAAGATCACATATTAACAACTTAATGTCATATCTCAAGGAACCAGAGAAAGAAGAACAAACCAAACCCAAAGCCAACAGAAGAAAAGAAATAACAAAGCTCAGAGCAGAACTAAACAAAATGGAAACCAAAAAAATATATAAAAGATCAAAGAAACAAAAAGTTGCTCCTTTGAAAAGATAAACAAAATAATAGATCACTAGCCAGATTAACTAGAAGTAGAAAAGAAAGGACTCAAATAACCTTAATCAGATAGGGAAAAGGAGA